CTGGGGGTGCTGAGCCTGAGCGTGCTGTGTCTGGAGGTCCTTCGGGTGTCTCGTCACGGCGGGAGCCCCTCTCTCCACAGCGGCTGCGTGAGTGGTACGCTCGACGCTGTAGCCGTGCAGCTGGTGCTGGAGCTGCTGGAGCAGCTGGAGGTACTGGCGCTGCTGGAGGTCCTGCTGGTGTTGGAGCCGCTGGAGGTGCTGGAGCCGCTGGAGGTGCTGCTGGAGCCACTGGAGGTGCTGCTGGTGCTGGAGCTGCTGGAGCAGCTGGAGGTACTGCTGGTACTGGAGCTGCTGGAGCCGCTGGTTCTAGAGGTGCTCGTGCTGGAGGTACTGGCGCTGCTGGAGTCCTGCTGGTGTTGGAGCCGCTGGAGGTGCTGGAGCCGCTGGTACTGGAGGTACTGGAGCTGCTGGGACTGGTGGTACTGCAGGAGTTGGAACTGGAGGTGCTGCTGGAGCTGGTGCTGCTGGAGGTGCTGCAGCTGGTGGTGCTGCGGGAGTTGGAGCTGGAGACCCTGGGGCGGAGGGTACTGGTGCTGTCTCTGCTGTTTCTGGAGGCGCTGCGCGGCCGCGGCCGTACTACGTTCCGCTCCTTCAGCAGGTGCTTGGCCTACCGCTTTCTACTGGTCCTCCTCCTCCTCCCTTACTAAGTACACCGCCTGTCCAGTCGCAGTCGCAGTTACTGCCAGCCTCTCCACTGCCTGGTCCTTCTCCTTACTCTGGACCGACTAGAGGTCTTACGGAGCGTCGTGAGCCTGAGTCTCGTCCCGCGTCGTTGAGTCTCGTCCTGAGTCGCCTGTTCGCGCTGTCCGCACTGGTCGTCGTGTTCCGCGTCAGCGTCCTCCTCCTGTCCCTGGCACTCACTATATGACTCTGCGTCCTTCCACTGCTCCACAGCGTGTCCCTCTGCCGTCTCCTCCTGCGTCCTCTCTTCCTGACGGTCCGGACCCGGAGCCTGACTCCGTTCGTGCTGCTAGTCATACTGTCACGCGTTTCCTGGCCACTGTTGTCACTGACCCTTCGTTTGAGTCCACTGCTGCGTCTGCTCTAGTTGCTGAGCTTGTTGACTTTGCTGCCGCCTGTCGTCTAGACTACGCCGCTAGCCTTGTTGCTGAGTCTGAGTCTGAGTCTGTCTGTCCTCCGTCCGTCGGGGGTGAGTGTGCTCTTGGCACGGACGTTCTTGAGGACAGACAGGAGGAGTTTGAGTGCTTTGCCGCTGCTTTACCTCATCTCGTGTCCATGCTGCTTGCCCCTGAGGGAGACCCGGATGCACCAGACATCCCGACCCTGCGCTCTTACGCAGAGGCGATAGAGGGTCCCTACTCCTCTCAGTGGCAGACAGCCATGGACGCAGAGATGGCTTCCTGGAAGTCCACAGGCACCTACGTCGACGAGGTTCCCCCACCTGGGGCGAACATCGTCAGTGGCATGTGGATTTTCAGGGTGAAGCGGCCGCCGGGTTCTCCGCCTGTCTTCAAGGCGCGTTACGTTGCACGAGGCTTCAGTCAGCGAGAGGGAGTTGACTTCTTCCAGACCTTCTCCCCTACCCCGAAGATGACCTCTCTTCGGGTTCTGCTGCACGTCGCCGCTCAGCGTGACTACGAGCTTCACTCTCTTGACTTCAGCACTGCTTTCCTACAGGGCAGCCTGCACGAGGAGATCTGGCTGCGCCGCCCACCTGGCTTCACTGGGTCGTTTCCTCCTGGTACCCAGTGGAGCCTCCGGCGGCCAGTCTACGGTCTCCGCCAGGCACCCCGTGAGTGGCACGACACACTGAGGACTACTCTTGCTGCTCTTGGGTTTGCTCCTTCTACTGCTGACCCGTCGCTGTTTCTACGCACCGACACCACTCTGCCGCCGTTCTACGTTCTCGTGTACGTAGACGACTTGGTCTTTGCTACCTCTGACACTGAGGGACTCGCCCACGTGAAGTCGGAGCTGCAGAAGAGACACACGTGCACGGACCTGGGTGAGCTGACAAGCTATCTTGGCTTGCGGATCACCCGGGACAGAGCACAGCGCACCATTACCCTGACTCAGTCACACATGGTGCAGCAGGTCCTTCAGCGCTTCCGCTTCACGTACTCCTCGCCACAGTCCACTCCTCTGCCTGTCACTCGCTCTCAGCTCCACCTTCGGACGAGTCCGTAGAGCCGAGTGGCCCGTATCCAGAGCTTGTGGGCTGCCTCATGTACCTGATGACCTACACTCGACCTGACCTTGCCTACCCTCTTAGCATCCTAGCACGCTATGTCGCTCCTGGCCGACACAGGAAGGAGCACATGGATGCCGCTAAGTGAACACATGGTGTTGCGCTACTTGTGCAGTACGTCGGGCATGGGGCTCGTGCTTGGAGGACGGGCTCGAGTTGTCCTCACTGGTCACGCAGACGCTTCTTGGGCTGACGACTTGGCTACGCAGCGGTCGTCACAGGGTTACACCTTCAGCCTTGGCTCCGGCTCTGTTTCTTGGCGGTCTACCCGCTCTTCTTCTGTTCTCAGCTCCAGCTGTGAGGCTGAGATCTACGCAGGGGCCATGGCTGCACAGGAGTTACGCTGGCTCACCTACCTGCTGACCGACCTGGGAGAGCTGCCTCGTTCTCCTCCAGTGCTGTACGTCGACAACAAGGCCATGATTGCCTTGTGTCAGGAGCACAGACTGGAGCACAGGATGAAGCACATCGCTCTGCGCTACTTCCTTGCTCGAGAGTTGCAGCAGCGTGGTCAGCTTCGTCTTGCTTACGTGGCCACTCAGGCCAACACTGCTGATGTCTTCACCAAGGCACTCCAGCCTTGTGATCATAAGCGTTTCTGTACTGTTCTAGGCCTTGTGCCTACTGTGCCTCACTTGCTTACTTCTTGACTGTGCTTGTACTGTGATCTCTATACATATACCTGCATGCTTACACTTGCTAGGTTGTGATCACTGTATTGCTTGTTCTCCTTTATATAACTATGCATGTAAACTGGCCTTGTGGCCATTTGCTTGTGCTCGGAATGCGTGGTGACGTCGTGATCCACCCTGAGCTTGCTTTGCCTCTCTTTACCGGTCTTGTGACCTCTTGTTCTCCCCCACTTTGCCTATGGGGGTGTGTCAAACATATATGCTATAGTCTGTGTAGGCTGTAGTGGAGTAGTTCATATAGGGTACAACACTTTTAGGTTTCCCACTTGTACCCACCTGCTTTCTAGTTCAGTCATTCCTTCGTTCTCATTCTGACAGTTGAGTATATCGAGGATAAAACGCGGCGTAAGACTTTGGCGAAGGAAGTCTTAGCGAAATAGGCGAAGAAGTAACTGAATTACGATTGAATGCTATTGGCAAATACAAGCAAGGTTGATATAGCATGCAAGAGCGATTGTCGGAAAGTAGTTTGTGGGACTAGGAATCGGAATGCAAAGAAAGTAGAGTGCCACGTGGCATGCTGGAAATCCTGGAAATCTGAAAGGATAAGATTGGGATGGGGTTGGGAACACTGTCTAGGGTGATTAGCCCTTGAACAGTAAAGTACCCCGTAACATATGTATGTCATCGTTTTAATCATCTCAGTCATTTTATATTCACTCTGACCTAAGGTCAACACTTCCACTGCAATTTACTCAGTGCGAACCTTCCTGAGGTGATCCTAGGCTCGATCAACTATATGATCGCAACTTCGATGAGAGCGACTCAGGATTCCTTCGCACTGCCACCCCCGAAAATCTCGGCGAACTAAAGTGACGTCCGGCACACGCTCACGCACGAGAATGGCAGGTGGATCAGAAGGTCAATTCTCCCGTTCTCCGTCCGTCGGCTGCGGAGGGTGTCAGTGTGCGCTCAGAAGCGCCTCGTTACCTGTGGGCATCTCGCTGCGGCTCCGGCATCTGGCTCTCCTGCCGCCTCCACACACCACGTACGCACGCCCATCTGTCACCTGAGTGGTGCCCTAGTGACTTTTGATTCAAAAGTGGTGCCCCCACCACAGCAGCTTGTTGCGTCAATCTGGCTCGGCCATCGTATTGTGATTGCTGCTCCACCGTTGCACTTCACTGCACCTCTTCATCTCTGCGTTCATAGCCTCGTTGTTCTTACGTGTTCTGCTCCTCCTCTTTCACCCTTTCCTCCGTCTAATTATCTCATTCCTTTCCAGTTCAGGTTGCCTCCACCGTTTCATTCTCAAGTCATTCCATGTTAAATCCACCTCGTCTAATTTTCTTCCAAGTTGCTACTGCTACTTTTGTCACCAAATTTGTGTTGATTCCTTTTCCCCCTCTACCTCTTGGTCTGCAATTTACTTTATCCGATTGTCATTTGGCTTGCTACCCGAGCCACAAGCTTCTTCCCATGCCATATTGTTTTCCCACGGCGGAAACACTATTTCTTCCCTCTCCCATATCTCCACCTTCATGAATGAAAGGGAGTGATGGAAAAAATCAGAAAAACACCATGCAAGTGAGCATTAGCCTCATATTGTTAATTACATACAAATGTTGGCCGGGGATTTTAAATGGGTATACGTTATAACGGCAGGATAAATTGTTATGATCCTGTAACATGCATCTATTCATCCCCTATTGAAGCAGTTTTATACGCTGTATTCACAGATTTGGGGGTGGATCTTTTATTTTCTACACTCGGAAAGGCAAACTTTCGCTATAAGAGAGTGTCGGTTGTGTCAGACGTCGAGTCTGACGCGCTGAATGTGTCAGACTTCGAGTCTGACGCGCTGAATGTGTCAGATTTCGAGTCTGACGCGCAGGATGTGTCAGATAGGCGACTATAAACTGACGCGTGAACGCGGAAAACAAAAATACAACAGAATAATATACAGCAGAAATGGGTCCTCACACTTTAACTTCAATGCATGTAATGTTTTTCAAATCGCCTTACGGTATTTACCATTTCACTTGAAAAGTGTTTTTTTTTTTTTTTTCAAATGCTTTCCCTATCCTACCTAACCATGTGCCTGGTTATCACAACACGGTGTACACGGTACTAACTACGAATGCGGTCCTCACACCGACCTATCTACCCAACCCATGTTCTGTGGCTGACTCACAGGTGCTATTTCTCAAGAACGGACTGTCCTTCAGCTTCTCCCCTAACCTCCCCCTCCCTCTGCCCCCACCAAACCCCCTCCCTCCCACACCCCCTCTCCCCCCCTCCTCCCGTCCCCCAGCAGTCACCATCCGTGCCCGCCCCCCCCACACAGGCAGCCCACCTCCCCCACTTGCACCCGCACCAGTGCCGCCTTGGCTGTCCGACTCAGCTGCTCGCCCGGCAGTGGACACGGAAGCACCAGGATCCGCTCCCACCCCTCTGTACACGTTATACACTGATGCATTACTGGCAGTGGACTCGCGCAGACTAGTCTGCACCCCTTCTCGAGTGCTGTCCCCATCTGTCAGCCTCACCCGCTTTGAATACTCTCTCTTCCTCTCCTCCTCCTTCCTCTCCTCCTCCCTCCTCTCCTCCTCCTTCTCCTCCTCCCTCCTCTCAGCCTCCCTCCTACCTCCCTCCCACCGCGCCTCCCCCTCCTCCCCATCGCGCACGCGCCGCAGCTTCACGGTGCGCAGAGCCTCGGGGCTCACGCCATAGCTCAGCCGCAGGGGCGCCTGAGGCCGGATCATCCGACCCACTTCCGGCACCACCTCCTGCTGCCCGCCCCGCCCGCCCCTCCGCACCCCCCTCCCCCTGCCGCACGCCATCATGATGATCCTCCCCCTCCCCTCCGCCCTGCGAGCTGCTGACAGCACTCTCCCCACACCGCCTGTTTCCATTTCCTGTGACTCATCATCTTGAAATTCATCCCCGTAATCATCCATACCTCCATCCCCATCCCCACCCGCATCCCCATTCCAATCCCCGTCCCAATCCTCATCTCCATCCTCCTCCTCCTGCTCCTCCTCCTCCTCTTCGTCATCCTCGTCCTCCTCCTCCCCATCCTCGTCAACCTCCTGGCTGCTGCCACTAGGAGCTCGCCTGCTCAGAAACCCCCTCTCCTCGTTCCACCTCCCCACTCCGCTGCTCTCCCTCCCTCCACCACTCTTTCCCCTCTCCTCATCACCTCTCTCCCCCTCGCCCCTCTCCCTCTCCCTCTCCTCACCGCCCCACCCCTGCATGCCTCCCTTGCCCCACACGCCTGCCGTACCCACAGAGGGTGACTGTAGCGAGGGTGATGGCTGCCCAGGCCTGCTGATGGAGGGCGAGAGTGGCAGTAACGGGGAGTTACTGACTTCGATAGAAGGCAGCGAGCTACCAGAGGGGAGGAACGGAGAGGCGGAAGGAGAGGGGCACAGGAGGGGTGAGGAAGGGGAGGAGGGGGAGGAGGGGGAGGAGGGGTCGGAGGGAGAAGGGATGGATGTCTGTTCCTTCGAGCCTGAGAGTGACAGTAACGGGGAGTTGGAGACTTCAATGGAAGGCAGGGAACTACCAGATGGGAGGACCGGCGAAGGGGAGGGGGAGGGGGAATGGAGGGGGGAAGAGGGGGAGGAAGGAGAGGAGGAGGAAGAAAGGTTGGAGGGAGAAGGGATGGATGTTTGCCTCTTGGAGTCCGAGAGAGAGGCAGACACCTGGATGTCATAGCTCGTCCACGAGCCACTAGGATTTTGACACGTGGCACCAAAGGCTGCTCCTGACGCCACTCCACCCAAGCCACCCTCCTTCTGCCACATCCCCTCCTTCTCAGCTTCACCGGACCAAGAGCTCCCCGAACCAAAGCCTCCCGAGCCAGGGCCGCCAGAGCTACCCCGTGCCAAGCCTCCCGTAAGGCGGTCGTTGTATGAGTGGATTGCCTCTTGTCCGCTGGGAGGTTGCAGAGAAGTCTCAAGTTCACCTGCTGCCTCCTCCTCAGCATCCTCCTCCTTGGCTGCCGTGGGCACTGCTTTCGGACCTGCTGCAACGGTCCGTGCAACAGGGTGTGTGTCAGCTTCACCATGCCTTGCACCTGCCCTGCCATGCGTCACACCTATCCCTCCCCCAAGCGCATCAGAAGCAGGTGATCGGCCAACCAAGGCAGACACTCTCGCTGCTGCCGCCATGCCCCCTCCAACCGCAGCAGCAGACCCAGCAGCAGCTGCAGCCACGTTAGAAAAACCAGCTGCGGCAGCAATTGCAGCAGCAGCAGCAGCAGCAGCAGCAGCGCTTGCGCCATGGCCTCTCTCTCTCCCTGCCCCATCCCTGTCAGACAGACGCCTATCCATCCCCCCCATCATCCCACCCCCAATGGGCGAGGGCGAGGTGGCACTGTTGTCATCCGCCTCATCGCCCCACACGGGCATTCTCCTCAGCGGACTCTCGTCCCTCTCCTCCCCTCTCCTCTCCTCCTCCCGCTCCTCATCCCCCTCCTTTTTGCTCTGCTTTTCCTCCTCCGTACCCTCTCTATCCAAATGCCTCACACCCGCACCTCCTCTCTCCCCCCATTGGCCCTTAACTTCCGCCTTCCCCTCTGTCTGCAGTGCCCGGCTCGTTTCCCTTATCCTCCTTTCAATCTCCTCCCTTACAGCGCTCAAGCCCCCTCCCTCCGACCCCGACAGAGAGCCAGAGAGAGCCGACGGGGAGAGCAGCGAGGTGGAGAGAGGGGAGAGCGACTGTATGGGGGTGGGCTCTATGGAGGTGGTGAAGGAAGAAGCAAATGAGTCTGAAAGCGAGTCTTCCTGGCCATACCGATGGGGTGGGTGTGAAGGAGCAGCAGCATTCGAGTTTGCAGCAGCAGATGACTCTTTATCGCTAGAAACACCTGCCGCAGCAGCAGCAGAAGCAGCAGCAGAAGCAGCAGCAGAAGCAGCAGCAGAAGCAGCAGCAGAAGCAGCAGCGGACGAACCCCCCCTGTGTGAACCCCTACCATGCGACGACCCTCTGCCGATTGAATATGCCCTTCCACCCACCACGTCATCACCACAAGAACCACCCTCCGACCCCGAAAAGCACCCTGCCTGCCCGTTAACCTGCCCGTTCAGCTGCCCGCTGGAGCCCGACGCAGCGCGAGCATCTGACTGGGCACCTGAGAAAGCACCTGAGTGCGCCTGGGAGCGTGACCTGGACTTGGACCACGATCGCAGGCGCAGGCCTGACCTGGACGGGCCGTGAGAGTAGGAGTTGGACTGAGAGGGGGATGGGGTAACTGAGAGCGTGGACTCGGATATTGGGGTTGTTTCTGAGATTGTCTCAATGTCCATACGGTCTTCGTCTGCTACAGCCTGTCTAACCTTATATGGATGACTGGAGTCGTGATTGAGGCGGTTTGACTCGTCATTCAGGCGGCTGGAGTCCTGATTCGAACGGTTTGGGCCCTGATTTGAATGGCTTAAGTCTTGATTTGGACGGCTTGAGTAGGGTGCTGCTTTGCCCGCTTCCCACCTCATGTCCAGCCCTCCAGCTGCTGTTGCTCCCCTCTCCATCCCCTTTTCTCCTCCGTTCTCCACTCCTCTCCCTGCTTCCCTGTCTGCCCCTCTTGCGCCTCCCTCACCAACTCCCAGCCCAACGAACGTCCCGCCAGCATGCATCACTGCATGCCGCACCACCACTGGCACTCTGGTTTGTGCGGCTGCCGCTCTCGCATAACCAGGTGTCATTTCTGCTGCTGCCGTGCCACCTCTCCCTGCTGCCTCCTTCCCATATCGATTTGCTGCTGCTGCTCCACCTGGCTTGGCTCTTTCGGCTGCCGGTGCTGCTTTCGCTGTTGCGGGTACTTTTGCTGCTGCAACTGCCACCTTCGCTGGAGCTGCTGCTACAGCCGGTGGTGCCAGCTTTGTTGCTGCTACAGCCGGCGGTGCCGGTTTTGCTGCCGCTACAGCCATTGGTGCCGGCTTTGCTGCTGCTACAGCCGGTGGTGCCCGCTCTGCTGCTGCAACAACTGCTGCCTTCTGCCGCCCTGCACTCATCTCCCTCTTCGCCTGCAGCCAGTTCCTCATAAATCCTCCCCTCCCCCGTCCCGCTTCCCCTCCCGCTACAGCCCCACTCTGCTTTGCGCCCTCAACCACCCTCCCCACCTCCCCATCTCCTCCCTGCCCCCCCTTTCCTCCCCCTGTCCCGAACGAGCCACCTCGGTTCGGCGGTAGCGCCAATGTTGCTGTCTCATGCCCCTCCCTACTCCCTGCCGCCTCCACGGGCGTTCCGTACTCATATACCTTATTTTTCTGAGGCGCCTCAAAGACGGGCGCCCCCTGCGAGTACCCATTCCCTGCTGTATGCGAGCCGGCTGACGTGTCGCAGCTTGATTGGGGCGAGGAAAGGGAGGATAAGGGGGCGGCGGAGGAGAGAGGCGAGAGCGAGGAGGCGGGAGTGAGGGAGGCGAGGGGGGTGATGCTGCGAGAGAGTGTGGATGGCTGTTTGTCATTAGAGAGGGTGTTAGAGAGTGCAGAAGGAGAGGTGGAAGGAGAGGAGAGGGAAGGTGGGGTAGACACGGAGGAGAGGGGTGTGAGGGTCTGAGACATGGAGCCATTAAGCTGTGAGAGAGAGCCATCCATTTGCGATAAGGACCCGTCAAGTTGTGATAGAGAACCCTCCATATCCATATTACTCCCTCCTCCTTTCCCACTCCCCTCCTCACTTCCATTCCTTCCCTCCCCACCCTCCACCCCTTTCCCATCCACGGGAGAAGCACCCCAGAATCTTCCCATGATGGACCCAGCAGCACCAGCCACCATGCCCCAAATCCCAGGCTGTAGCGGCTGTAGCGCGGGGTCGCCCCCTGCTGCAGCAGCCATAGCCGCTACAGCCGCGTCCACTGTGAGGGCCGAGGGGGAGGACGGCATGGCAGCTGTAGCACTGGATGCCTGGGAGGAGGCCGACAGGGAGTGGGCGAGGGAGTGGGAGGAGGAGGCGGAGGCTCGAAGAGGAGCGTTGGGTCTATGCCGAGAGTTCAGCTGTGGAGTTGCCGCAGTAGCGACCTTGGCAGGACCACCACCGGCAGCAGCAGCAGCAGCAGCAGCAGCATCAGCAGAAGGGGGGAACGCCCCAGGGGTCACCTCAGAGGCTTCCCTAGAAGCTTCGGTATCTGTGCCATACGCCGCATGCCTGCTGGACCATGCAAAACCGTTCTTCACCGCTCTGGGCTGCGGGGTGTAGGGCCGGCGGGGGTCGGGAGAGGCGCTCTGAGGCGCTTCAGGGAGGGAAGGCAGGCGGTGCGGCCTTCTAGCGGCGGGCGTGTGTGAGGGGGAAGGGGAGAGGGAGGGGGATGGATAGGCGTCGGGATCGGAATTGGCATCGAGGGATTCGTGGCGAGAGAGGGTGTGGGGGAGAGGAGTGGTCGGGGTGTGCGAGGTGGGGGTGTGGATGGTGGGGCTGCAATCAGGGCCCACGCTGCAACTGGCCACAACAGACCGCCCTAGATCGCCCCCTCCTCCTGCTGCTGCTGCTCTTGCTGCTGCTGCAGAAACACCAGCTTTACCAACAGCAGCAGCAGCAGCAGCAGCAGCAGCATTAGCAGCATTAGCAGCCTTGCCATGTGTAAGTTCGCCCTGAGGCTTCTGAACGGACTTGACACTGTCGACACGGAACCCCATACTATCCACTCGCACCCCGCCTATCCCCGACCATGCTGCTGACCCCATCGTCCCCTCCTCGCCCTCCCCCCCTCCGCCTCCCCTCCCCCTCCCTTTCCCCCACTTCCCTCCTCCCCGCCCCTTCATCTCTTTGATCCACTCCGGCCCCCCACCAGACCCCACACTAGAAGCCCAGCTCATATTAGTTTCCGTGTCTACAACCACTTCTACCCCTCTCTCCTGCCCTTCCTCCCCTTCCTCGCCCTCCCTCAGTCCACCTTTTTCAAACTCCCCTCTTCCATCCCTCGCATGTCCTCTCTCTCTCCTCTTTCTCCTCTCTTCCCTCCCACTTCTGCTCCTGTTGCCTTCTCGTCCCCGTTCCCACTGACCTCCTTCCCCAACCCCCTCTCTCCTCTCTCTCTCCCTTCTCTCCTCCCTCTCCCCTCTCCCAGGCCCCCCTCCCACCTCCTGCATCCGCCTGCTTCGCAAATACTCCACTCGTGCCCTCAGCCCGCCAAACAGGTCCTCCCATCCTTCTCTCCTTCCCCCCACACCTTCCATCAGCGCAGCAGCAGCAGCAGCAGCAGCAGCGCCAGCAGAACGCTCACTGGAGGAGAGGGAGGAGAGGGAGGACCAGGAGTCGGAGTGCAGAGACACGGAGGCCACGCCGATGCTCGCCCCTGCAGCTGCTGCCAGGGCGCCGCTGTGGTTGCCACACAGCACAGGCAGCGGGGAGAGGCGCCGCGGAGAGAGCGGGCTTGGGGACCCACTGCCAGTAGCACCGCCAGGAGCAGCAGAGGGAGAGGCAGGAACCACAACAGCGGTAGCAGCGGCAGCAGCAGCAGCCATTCCTGCAACATCCACCGCTCCATCCCTTCCCCATTTCTCCTTCTCCTGCCGCCCCTTCCGTCCCCACCTGCTCGGGCTGAGCAGGTGCATACCCCCCCTCGTCTTGGCATGGTCCGATTGAGCCCTCTCATGCTTGTGAGCGCCAGTGCCAGTGACAGCAGCAGCAGCAGCAGTGACAACGCCAACACCCAGCGCAGCTGCTGCAGCACCTGCTCCCAGCACCGCACCCAACACCCCGGCACCGCCCCCACCTGCCGTGCCAGCACCAGCAGGAACAGCAGCAGCAGCAGCAGCAGCAGCAGCAGCACTAGCACCTTCCCTTGATGCCCCATCCCCTCCTCCTCGTCCCCCCTTTCCCCCGTTCCCTCCCCCTCCCCCTCTCCCTTCCCCCCCCGCCCCTTCTGTAGCCCACGAGGGCGCCAGCATGGGCAGCAGCTGCATGAGCGCTCGGGGGGAGTTCCGCCACTCCTCCCCCTCGTCCGTGCCATACCCCCCCTCCTCCCCACCTTCCCCCCTTCCGCCTGATTCCCCCCTCCTCCTCCCCCTAGAGGTTCCATCCCCCATACCTGCCTGCCCTGCTGAATCCAACCGAGAGGCACCAGACTGGTTCGGTCTAGTCTCGGAACCCGTCATTCGGTTAGGAGAACCATACTCGTTATAAGCTGGGCCGCTAGAAGCTCTCCTGCCACTGCCGCCGCCGTCACCGCTACTGTTGTCACCGCTGCTACTTTGGCTGCCCGACCTGCCGCGGCTACTCCCCTTTGAGCTCCCCTTCACGGGAAAAGCCGCTTCTGGCGACCCCCCTAGCTCACCCCGCCTCTCCATGTGAAACCTCGCCCCTATCCCCCCTCCCCATCCGCCCCCTTCCCCCCCTCCTCCTCTTCCTCCTCCTCCTCCTCCTCCTCCTCCCCCGCTCCTCCCCATCCACCACCCTCTCCTCCACCCCGATTGGCTCGCAGAGTCGCCGCCCGAATCCCTGTCAGAATCCGAATCAAATCGGGAGGAGGCGAAGCCAAAGGGGCCGAGGAAGAGGAGCACGAGGCCGTATGCGAGCAGGGAGAGGCCGCCCAAAAAGCCTCTAGTCATAGTCACTGATCGGTCCGTGCCAGCCGCCTCACTCACTGACCCCGCACAACCCTGCTCTTCCCCCTCCCCTTCCCCCTCTCCTTCGCCCCTGCCATTCCTCCCCGTCCCGCCACTTCCCAGCCCCTTGCTCCTCCCAAACGCGCCCGCATAGTACTTCACCCCCACGCCTGCAGTGTCTTTCACTAAGGCACGGAGGAAGCAGGCGAGATGGCCCAGGAACGATACCAACAGAAGCGCCTGCATTCCTGCCCCTGCCGCTGCAGCAGCGGAGGGTGGGATGGCCCCAGTAGCAATCGCAAGGGCGACAGCAAAGAATGAGACGTGGGAGGCGGAGGCAAGGAGGGCGGAGAGGGGGAGCGACGTGCTGATAAAGGGACGGGCGAGGGCGAGGTAGAGCAGGTGGCAGCACGCCAGCACCAGCAGCACCGTGCACTGCGCACACGCATCCCCCGCTGAGCTGGCAGGATCTGCTGAGGTGGCAGGGTGGGCCATCCAGCTGTAGCTTGCCACAACAACAGCAAGGGAGCAGCGCAGACAGAGGTCCAGAGGCACTTGCGCTATGCCTGCCCATCCGGACGCCCATTGCAGCCCACGCCACAGCCTATCCATGGCATTGTTGCTGCTTTCTGTGCCATGGCCGTATGCACTGGCAGCATGGGAACGCGCATACCCGCGCCCACGTGTGAACGAATCATCGACATCCCACCACTCCCCTCCTCCTCCATGCTCTTCACCCTTCACGATGCCCCATCGGCCCCCATTCCCACTTCCTCCTCCTCCGCCTCCCTCCCCAAATGCAACTGGATGGACTGCCGCTGCCCGACCAGAGTAGCTGCTCCGACCAAAAGCTGAGCCTAACGGAGAGCTGCTGGCTCGGCCTGAACCTGAACCACTTCCTCGACCCGAACCTGCACCGGTGGTTCGGACCACGGCTACTCCTCCGTTCCGGGTGCCGCCCCACTGAGCCTCGAATAGCAGTCCCCAGCTGCCAATGAAAGCTGGACACGTGGCAGGGTCTGTGATGTGCCATGTGCCATGGGCTGCGCTGGGCGAAGGGAGCTGGAGGTCAGAAAAAAACAAGTATAGGCGGTGGAGGGTGGGGAAATTGAAGGTTGGCAAGCATTGAGATGAGAGAGATTAGGGTCTTGACAGAAGACGAAAACAGCGACAAGGAAAAGCACCGCTGAGCGAGCACACTCCGTACTACATTGCACACCGACCGTAGAATACTCAGTAGACAATGTTAGTGTTAGCCCTCAATCTCACTTTTTGTGCTTGTACTTTTTATATCCTAAGTTAATGTAGTTTGCACTTTTTGTTTGGTTGGGTGTACACCCACATCCCAACCAAACCCAAATGTGATCCCCAAGCAATCTCCAACCAAATGAAGATTACCTTGGGATTATCCCCAATCCCTAGGGCTTGCCCCCCATTCCCTCCTCATCCATACATAGCTCATTCTGGATGTACTTAAGGAATTTCAAGCTCATTACTATTGCATTGGTTCTAAGCTCCAATTCTGATATGGTATCAGAGCTTTTCAACCGCACACGCGGATCATGATCTTCCTACTTCTGCGGATCCTCATCCCGCACTCTTCGGCAAAGCCGCTTTCAATCCCGTCGCCGTCGATCCGCGACATCTCTGGCTGGAGTTTCTCCCGCGCCACTCACCTTACCGTCGCGACGACTTCCACATTTTTTGTTATGCGAATCGTCGGTATAAGCGCTTATCGCTGGTCTTTCCCGAATACGCGGCACTTCTCCTCCTCGTCGGGCTGCCGTTCGTCGCTGTCACCTTCGGGCCGCCGCTCGTCGCCCCGCAGCGGCTGGATCGAAACCCTAAATCTGAAGGTTTCCGTTGGAAGTTGCACAAAAATCGTTCTCAGAAAGTCTTCTCGGAACCCGCGTTTCGCCTACGACGACTTAAGAGCTGCTCCGCGCGGAAACGAAGAAATATATTCATCATGGCGTTCGCTTCCTCTACCGTTGTCAATCTTATCACCCAAACTAGCTCAAACTACAAGGCATGGAGCTACGGGGTTCACAAGCACCTCTTGAGCCGTGAGGTGCAAGGGTTGGACATCAAATATGTTCTGCTCAACCACGGAAAAAGAAAGCAGCCTCCGTCCCCACGGCGCCGTCGATCCTACCAGCGCGGAGACAACTAGGGAATATGAGGAAGCGGTTGACAAGATCCGCCGTTGGGAGAAGGCCGATGCGGCTATCATTAGCATCTTCATCGGCACTACCCCTCCCGACCTCGTCAACACCTTCCACGACTACCCTACCTTCAACGCCATATGGAAACATTTTCATGATCTTTTTATGAACCAGACGGCGGTCGGGGTGGCAATCCTTATTCCTAGCATGTTCTAGGTCCGTAGAGGATTTCTCGGGGTTGGCTGACTACATCGCCAAGGTTCAAACCAATCATGGCGAGCTCAAGTAACTCGGCATTATCTTCCCCGAGCAAGCTCCCGCAGCCGCTCTTCGCTCTTCTTGTCGGCCTCACTCCGGCCTACGAAATCACGAGGAAGATGCTCCTCACCCTCTCTGCGGAATACCTCTTCCACACTCCTCTCCGCCGTGAAAGACACCACGGCTCAAGCCAAGGCCTACGCCCTCCGTGCTCATGTGTCTCAAACAAGTGTTACCTCCGCGCCCTTCCAGCGCAACCGCTTCCCTCCATGCACCTACGTCGTCAAGTATGGCAACCGCAAGGGACAAGTGTGTGGTGGTACTAACCACCCCCTGACTTCTTGCTTCAAGAAGAAGGACGACGCGTGGTATGCGCCCTCGTAAGGTCAACTAACTCGAGGCACAGGAACCCGCTCAGGCTAGTGCTAGTGATAGTGCTCCAGCTGATGTGCGCCTCAATATGTTGTGCCTTGGCACTGCCATGATTAATGAAACGACTTCGCAATACATCGGCTCATCACAAACACCAGCTTCCAATAAAATTCACACTCGACAGTGGGGCCACACACACAGTGCTCAAGAGAAACTATCCTTCCAACTGTATTCATCACCCATACCTGTCTTGGGAGCTGATTCCACCTTCCCCACTCATGCCAAGGGGTCATCCACAGTCATGTGCCCCGCCTTCCCATCCGGCATAGTCACTGGCATATGCGTGCCCTCACTGCGCCACAATCTAGTGGCTTAAAAAAAACTTCAACAGGCGGGGGTCCTCACCATCTTTCCTCCATACGCTGACTACTGTGGCATCATCGGCCCCCTTACCACCAATTCTTAGCTCGTTTCACTCTCAACAGCAGCGACCTCTGCACGCTGCGCTTATCGGCCCCACGGGTGTCAACCACCCAAGCACAGGCTGCTATCGCACCATGCTCATGCCGCAGTCTAGCCAACCCGACCATTCTCTATTTCCATCGGCTAGGGCACCAAAACTTCCGCACGCTCGCTGACATGGCCTCCAAGAAACTTCTTCTCGGCCTACCAGCCTCATTTCCTCCACCACCTGACTCTCACGCTCCCAAGTGTGCCTTGACTGCACTAAGAGCAAACTGCGGCAACATCCTCACCCTGCCTCACCCTCAGTTGCAGCAGCCCCTCTGAACCTATTGCACATGGACGTCTGGGCACCTGCCCCTGTTACTGCACGAGGTGGTCACCGCTACTTCCTCTCACTAGTTGATGATCACGCTCGCCACGTCTCTGTGCATCTCCTCCACACCAAAACTGAATCTCCAGAGGTTATCATGGCATGGGTTCGACAGGCGAAGGTCACATTTGACACCATGGTCAAGTGTTCTCATTCGGATGGTGGTGGTGAATTTTGCAATAGCAAGCTCGAAGCCTTCTGCTCCTCTCGCGGCATTCAACAAAACTTCACACTTCCTGACAGCCCGCAGCAGAATGGCATAGCAGAGAGTCGTAATCACACCTTGGTGCAGATCGCTCGCTTACTCCTAGGCGATTCTCACGCACCACTTTCACTTTGGGGTACGCCCTCTACCATGCCGCCCTTTTCTACAATCTTTACCCCCACCCGCATCTTCCCGACACCACTCCCACCACACTCTTGCTCGGGAGAACACCCACTACTCGCCCTCCTTGCGTCTGGAGGTGCACCGCCTATGTCGTGCTCAACCTCCAGGCTCGACGGTAGCAAACCGGCAAGCTCGGCCCCAAGACTTAAACGTGCATCTATCTTGGGCATAATGCCGACTCTCCTGACTACCTCTTCCTCAACCCTACTACCCAGCAACTAGTCCGCAGCCGCGATGTTGTCTTTCATGAGACTCCACCCTTCTACTCCACCTCCAGGAGTCAACATCGTTGGAGGCAAAGTGGCTGTTCCGAGTGAAACAACTTCCGGACGAGGCCCCAGTGTTCAAAGCGCGTTATGTGGCCAACGGATGCAGTCAGCAGCAGTACTAGGACTGCTTCAAGATCCTTCTCTCCCACGGCCAAACCACCCACCGTTCGCACGCTCCTGGATGTGGCCGCACGAGAAAACATGGAGATCAAATCCATAAATGCCTCTTCGACTTTCCTGCAAGGACACCTCAAAGAGTATGTCTTCATGGATTGACCCGAATGCTTTCCGAGAGAGTTCCCTCCCAACACTGTCTGGAAGGTGAATCGCCCTGTTTACGGCCTCAAGCAAGCTCCTCGTGAGTGGCACAACAAAGTGAAAGAAGCCCTCCTCTCATTAGACTTTCACCCGTCATCTGCTGACCCGACATTTTTCATTTGTTGTCACTCTGAGCCATTTTACATCCTTGTCTACGTCAATGACTTCATCCTCGTCTCCAAGGACTCGGCCCAGATGACTTCGGTCCAGACGGCCCTGAGCAAGGCCCTTCTGATGAAAGACATTGGTGATCTCAAGCACTACCTGGGGATGGAGGTCATTCGTGATCATTAGGCTCGCACCATCTCGCTCTTCCAGAAGATCTACATAGACAATGTTTTCAAGCGATTTGAGATGGGACCCTGCACACCTATTGCCACCCCGCTGCCGCTGCAGCACCTCCTCACAGCTCCAGCTATACCCACACCAGAGGCCTACTCCGAGCCATACCCGGAGCTTGTTCGGTCCCTCATGTATGCCATGATGTGCACCGGGCCTGACCTGGCATACCCTGTCAGTGTTCTCTCTCGCTATGTCGCTCCTGGACGCTTTACCGATCTTCACTGGACAGCGGCAAAGCGGGTGTTGCGCTATCTGCAGAACACCAAGTCTCACGTCCTCACCCTTGGTGGTCTCTCTCCTCCACGACTAGAGGGCTACATTGACTCCTCTTGGGCTGATGACCAGACCGACTGACGCTCCTCTCAGGGCTACTGCTTCACCCTTGGTAGTGGAGTTGTTAGTTGGCGCTCCACCAGGTCCTCTGCAGTCTCCCTCTCATCTTATAAGGCAGAGCTATATGCTGGGACGATGGCAGCTCAGGAGGCTCGTTGGCTCACCTTTCTCCTCCAGGAGCTTGGCTACCCTCAATCCATCCCCACTCTCTAGTGTGACAACAAGAGTGACATCCACCTCTCCCAGGATTCCGTGTTTCACACTCGCACCAAGCACATCGACCTTCGCCACTTCTTCATTCATGACCTCGTTCAACGTGATCAGCTGAAGGTGGAGTACATCGCATCTGGCAATAACTTGGCTGATTTGTTCACCAAGCCCCTTGGAAAGGTTCCTCACCATCGTCTTGTTGGCGCCATGGGGCGGTGTGCCCCACCTTCCCTGCCTTGAGTTCGATTGATGTCGTTGGGGGGTGTTCGTGTTAGCCCTCTCAACTTTCATGCTTGTACTTTTTATATCCTAGGTTAGTGTAGTTTGCACGAGTCTGGTTGGGTGTACACCCACATCCCAACCAAACCCAAATGTAATCCCCAAACAATCTCTAACCCACCAATCGGAGATTGCCTTGGGATCACCCCCAATCCCTAGGGATTGCCCCTGATTCCTTGTCATCCATACCTAGCTCATTTTGAATCTACTTAAGGAGCTTCAAGCTCATTACTAATGCATCAATTCTAAGCTACAATTCTGATAGACGATGGTTTTGTTCTCGAGACGTCTCAAAAACTGGTCGTACCTGATAAACGACGGCCTTGTTCTTGCAGGCGATGTTGCGGAGGAAAAAGGCAAGGAGGAAGGGGAGATTCGCCAGCACCACCACCACAGCTACGAAGGGCAGGCCGGCCCAGCCTGGGGGATTGTAGTAACACAATTTGGAGAGATTTGGAAAGACTTAAAGGGGTTTATTACATAGCCAAACTCGCTAGCTACCAGAAAGTTTCAAAATTTCGGGTCTCTTTTCTAGTTCACGCTAGGATGGCTTGATGTGACGGATTTGGTTGCTCCCCAACGATCTGGTTTTGATAATGAGGTTACCTTGTTCCGAATTTTCGAGCAGATTAACGGTTCAGGGTTTAGTGTAAGGATAGAGGCAAGTGAGAAATAACAGGGGGTATTCAGCTTGCACATAATCAACAAGGTCGCTTTATATCTTGCAACAGAACGGCTTGCGCAATGGGGGTGCGGGAAATCAACATGTGGCATGGATGTAGGCAGGCAGTGCAACAGAAGGAAGAGAGAGGCAAGCAGGGCAGCAGAGCTGGTGAGGCGAGATGGAAGCGGACTGACCAGCGCAGAGCAGAGTGAGGGCGTGGCAGAGGGCGGGCAGGCAGAGCAGCAGCATGAAGAGCAGCGGGCGAGGCCAGCTGAGCAGATGACCAACCTCCCACGGCATGTGCACCCCCGCCTCCCCGCCTGCTGCTCCCCCTCCCCACCCTACTCCTCCCGGTGACTCCCCTCCCCTTCCCCCTCCTCCTCCTGCTGCTGCTTCCCATCCTGCTGGGAGCTTCCGCATTCCCAATCCTGCTGTTGCTGATGATGATGATGCAGAGGCGGCTTTGGCGGCGCGGGAGGAGAGGAAGAGGAGGAGGTAAAGCAGGGCGTGGAGGAGGAGCGTGCAGGCGAGGAGCAGGGCGGACCAGAAGAGAGTTCCACATGCGATGTTGATGCTGGAGGGGCGCAGGGAGGGGGGATGGAGGGGAACGGGCAGCGTGGAGGAGTGTGACAGTAAGGGGTTTGTATGCGTGTTTTACAATAAGGGTGTGATGTGTCTTCTGTGCGTGCTTTAGAAACAATTGTATGTCACATGGGCGGCATGGCAGCTGTCACATATGAGGCAGCTTAATTCTTGCACAAAAGCACGCATATGTGCGTATATGTGCGTGTGGGGGAGTGGATATGTGTGCGTGTGTGCACATATGTGCGTGCGAGTGTGTATACGTGTGTCTATACCTCCACATGTATGCATGCATGCATGTGTGTGCATGTGCATGTGCTGGAGAACAGGAAGGGAGCCACTCACGCGACCTGGGAGGCGGAGGGGTACTGCATGCGCGCATGTGTGGTGCGTGTTGCACGTGCATGTGTGTGCATGTGCATCGCAGGGCAGGGCAGGGAGCCACTCACGCGACCTGAGAGGCGGAGGGGTACTGCATGCGCGCCAGTGCCTCCTGTTGTAGCTGCATGTCAGACTGGCGAGCCGGCGAACGGTGGGAGACAGGGCAGGGGAGACAGGGCAGGGGAGACAGGGCAGGGGAGACGGGGCAGGGGAGACGGGGCAGGGGAGACGGGGCAGGGGAGACGGGGCAGCGGAGACGGGGCAGCGGAGAGAGGGGGAGACGGGGCAGGGCAGGACAGGGTAAGGCAGGAGAGGGCAGAGCAGAGAGGGGCAGGGAAGGGCAGGAGAATGGACAGCTGAGTATGACTGAACAGAAGCTGTTGAATGGGGACGTTGAGGAAGGGAAGAATGACCGACGACTGTGACCTGAGACATACAGATGGGAACATTCGCGCACCTCGAAACACCACCACGCACGCACCTGTGAGCGCCAGGTGGTTCCTGCGGATTCGTCGTTTCCCGTCACTGCAGGTGCCTCTGTGTCAGCCGCCTCGGCTGTAGTGGCAGCGGCTGCAGCAGAGGGAGCAGCAGCAGCTGTAGCAGTGGTAGTAGCTGTAGCAGTGGTAGCAGCAATAGGAGCAGCTGCAGCAGCGACTCCAGCAGCAGTAGTAGCAGTGCCAACAACAGGTCTATAGCTGCTGCTGGCAGCATTCAAGCTAGCACTGGGGTTAGGGTTAGCAGTACGGTCTACGTAAGGGCTATATGGGCTCGACGCTTTCAACGGGTTAGAGGGGTCAGATGGGGTAGAGGGATCAGATGGGTTAGAGGGATTAGGGGGGTTAGCAGTGTTAGGAGAGTGAGAGGGGTTAGGGGGTTGAGCGGAGAAGACAAGGAGGCGGCGCATGGGCCAGGGCAGCCTCTCCCGCTTCATGGACCTCGAGGAATCATCCCTGTGCTTGTCTGTGTGGCTGGGGTGCCCGGCTGTGCTGCCGGCGCCACCTGTGCTGCCTTGGCTGCCCTCTTCACTCCCCGTGCGGCTCGGGCTGGTCTGCCCTTGGAATGGTTGCATGGCAGCGTCGCCATCACTCTCACCACCATCACCAACGCCGCCACCACCACCACCGCTGCGCTTGTGCTGCACCCCACCTGCCCTGTTATCCTCCTCCTCTGCCCCTCGACTAGCCATAGGCCCTCCCTTCCCAACACCCCATCTTATCCCTCCCCACACCCACCTGTGCACGACCTTCCCTAGTGCTGCTTCCTCCCCTCCCAAATCACGCAACACCCCTCCCAAATCACGCAACACCCCTCCCAAATCACGCAACACCCCTCCCATACTCTCCCCCCATGCACCGACTCTCTCTCGCAACCACCTTCCTCTCCCCCTCGTCGTCCCCCTCCTCTTCCACTTCACACTAGCCAGGCCCTGCACTCCCCTCTCGCCCCTCTCCACTCCCCTCTCGCCCCTCTCCACTCCCCTCTCGCCCCTCTCCACTCCCCTCTCGCCCCTCTCCACTCCACTCTTCCTGCTGCCCCACCCTCTCCCTTCCTCCCATTCACCATCCTTTCTTCCACCCTCCTCACTCTCCACATTATCCTCCTCACTCTCCTCACTGTCCTCCTCGCTCTCCTCACTCTCCTCGCTCCCTTCCTCCCTTTCCTCCCCTCTCTCCTCATTACCATCTCTCTCCTCCCCACTCTCATCCTCGCTCTCCACACTCTCCTCCTCATTCCCCCCTTCATTTTCCTCAACTACCACACTCTCATCTCCCCCTCTCCTCACCCCGCCTCTCCTCTCCCTCAGGTGTCTCTCCACAGCAGAAGCCCCACTATCCTCCACACCACCCTCTGCATCCCCCATCACCGCTTCCGCTGCAGCAGCAACCGGACCAAACCCCTTCGGCCCTGTCGACTGCCTTGCTGCAACTGTGGTAGCCTTGGCTCCTGTGGCTCCTGCTGCTGTAGCCGTGGCGGCTCCTCCAGTAATTCCTGCTGCTGCTGCTGCTGCTGCTGCTGCTGCCTCTGCTGCTGCTGCTCTGGTCGTCGCAGCTGCCCTTGCTGCAGCAGCTGCAGTGGCTGTAGCAGCCACCTTCCCTGCTACAGCCGGAGGCACCACAGCAGGCGCACTGCTTGCTGCTGCTGCTTCTGCTCTCGCCGGTAACCCTGTTGCTGCACCTCCTCCTGCTGCCACGGCTCCCACTGCCGCAGGCGGCAGCCGCGCTGCACATCCCGTCCCTCCCACCACCCCACCCCGTGCTGCCACTGCACCCGCTGACACGCCTGCAGGTGCAGTGACAGCAGGTGGTGAAGTGGGAGCAGGGGAGTGCGAGGGGGCGAGAGCAGGAGAGGAAGGGGCGGCGGACGGGTTACCACCTGCTCCCGCCCCTCCTCCTCCCCCCGCGCCCGCCTCCCCACCGTCCTCCCCCTCCTCCCCATACACAGGTGCATCATGCGCCCAGGGCAGGGGGGCATGGGGCAGCACCCACCAGAGCTGCTGCGCAGTTTCCAGGAAGGTGAGGGGCAGGTCGACCCGCAACCACGCAGCAAAGGCAAACACCTGCAGCGATGAGAACATGTGCTGTGGGGTGTGGAGAAGGGGAAAGGGGGAGGGGGTGGATTGGAGGGGGTTTGGGGGAGTGGAAATGGAGGGGAGAAAGAAGGGTTCAAGAAGGGAAGCAGCAAAGGCAAAGACCTGCAGCGACAAAAACATGTGCTGCAAAGGGGGGGGAACGGGGGAGAGTGAGGTGAAAGGGGTGGGGAATGGTATGTGAAAGGGCCGAGGAGAGGGAAAATATAAGTGTTGAATGAATGATGGAGGCAGCAATGGGGGCAGGAAGTGAGGTGGAGCAAGTGAGAGCAGGAGAGAGCAGGTGGTTGGTGTGGAGGAGGGGAAGGAAAGCGTGGAGAGTGCGAGATGGGCATAGTGGCGTGAAACACTGCAGCCACCGTACCAGGACAGTGCATTCAGCTGTAGATTCTGCAGGGTGTTTTTGAGAATTCTCAAAAACATGGTGAGGAAGGACAATGTGGGCCCGTAAGTGCTAAACTCACAACACCACGATGCAGTCAGCAGGCGGATTGGGAGGGGACACACTCAGAAGGGGGAGGGGGAGTGGGTGCACTCACCAGTAGGTTCCTGGAGGGGGAGAGGGGCAGGCGGCCGTGCATGGGAGGGAGGAGGCCACGGGTGGTAAGGGCGGAGGAGGAGAGCGAGTAGAGCGCCGAGAGGGCGGCTGCTGTCACCGTGGTGACGCTGATGGTGGTGGCGATGATGCTGGCCGTGGCTGAGGGCGCGTCTGGTGGGAAGGGGGAGGAAAAGGGAGAGGTGCGGAGACGTGGAGAGGTAAGAAGAGGCAGAACGAGGTGGGGAGGGGCAGGAAGAGGAGAGACAGGCACAGAGGGAGGAGGGGAGAGGAGAGGTATAAAAAACAGGGGAAAAGGAATGAGAAACGCTGTATAAATGATGGTGGGTGCGGGGGAGAAGAGGAAAGGGAACAAAGGGAGTGCACGAAAAGTGAGGGGAAGCACGTAGCGATCACATGTGAAGGGAGAGCGTACAGGTGACGTGGATGGTGTTGGAGGCGAGCGAGGTGGTGCCCGAAGGGGTGGTGGCGGCACCAGGAAGGAAGCAGGGAGACGGAGAGCGATGACATGCGGAGAGGGGGCTTACAGGTGACGTGGATAGTGTTGGAGGCGAGCGAGGTGGTGCCCCAGGGGGTGGTGGCGGCGCCGGGAAGCAGGGAGACGGAGAGGGCGGCAGGGGGAGGTGCTGACTGGGGCAGGGTGATCCGCGCAAGGAAGGCCGCTGGAGAGACACGCTCCACCCTGTTGGGATTGCATTGTTGGGGGGGAGTGGGAGGGAATGGGTGGTAAGGGTGGAAAGGATTTGCTCACTAAGTGCATTGAGATCCGCTGCACTGATGCGCTCTCACCACACATCGCACACCGCAAGCACAATCAGATTCTACAACGAACCACTCCACACCTCGACTCACCACTCCCCCGACTCACCACTCCACACCCCGACTCACCACTCCACACCCCGACTCACCACTCCACACCCCGACTCACCACTCCACACCCCGACTCACCACTCCACACCCCGACTCACCACTCCACACCTCGACTCACCAGTCCACACCTCGACTCACCACTCCACACCTCGACTCACCACTCCACACCCCGAATCACCACTCCACACCCTGACTCACCACTCCACATCTCGACTCACCACTCCACACCCTGACTCACCACTCCACATCTCGACTCACCACTCCACATCTCGACTCACCACTCCACACCCGGACTCACCACTCCACACGGGCACCATCGGTCCCATTCACCACGATCGTGCCCTGCCGAATGCTCCATGTGCCATCTGACTCCACATTCTCGATACCCACTCCTGCATCCCCCTTACACTCTTCCCCCCAACTCCTCCCACCCCGACTCACCACTCCACGCGGGCACCGTCAGTCCCATTCACCACGATTGTGCCCTGCCGAATGCTCGACACCGGCGCCGACGCATTGATCAGAAACGTTAGCTCCCTCTGCGCCACCTCATACGATGCTGCTGGTGTCGCTTCTCCTGCTGCCCCTGCTACCCCTGCTGCTGCTCCTGCTCCTGCTCCTGCTGCTGCTGAGATCGATCCGTTACTGGGGGAAGCTGTCGGCAGAACTGACGCCAGCGAGGGTGGCGAGGGCAGTGAGGAGAAGCCAGCAGGGGTGGTGCTGCCCGGCACGGTGCTGCTCGGTGGCCACATGATGGGGCCTGAACCCAGCCCGCTGCGGTAGGTGTCGGGGTGCTGCAGGAGGGACAGGTGCATGCTGGCGGGGTGGGTGCCTGGCAGGTTATTGGGGGAAGGGGTGGGGTGGGGTGGGACGGGATGAGGGGGTTTAGAAGGAGGTAAGGGGCGAGGCAGTAGGTGTCGTGGTGCTGCAGGAGTGACAGCTGCATGCTGGCTGGGTGGGTGCCTGGCAGATCATTGAAGGGGGGGATGGGATAGGGATGGGATGCGGTGGGCCTGAAAGGGGGTAAGGGAGGACGCAGAATATGTTTTTTTTTAGGCGCATAAAAAAAGGACGCAGAAGGTGTGGTGATGCAGGAGTGAGGGGTGCATGCTGGCTGGCTGGGTACCTCGCAGGTCAACAGGGGCAGGAGGCATGGGGAGGGGTTGGGAAGAATTGAGGACGGTAAAAAGGGGAGGTGAGGGGAGAGACGGTGGTGGTAGGCGTGGTGATGCTGCAAGGAGTGAGCATGCTGGCTGGGTGGGTGGCTGTCGGAAGATACAGGGGAAGTTGGATTTTGAGGGGAGGGAGGATGTGGAGCAAAGGGAGGATGTGGGGTGAAGGGAGGTGGGGTAAGAAGGCAGGGTGAGGGCGCAGGCCCTTACTGCTGTGTGTCCTGTAGCGTTCATTCAACCGCTGTTGGGCAAAGGGTGGTCAAGGGGGGGTGTACCACTGTGAAAGGAGGACAAGTGGTGCACACAACCAATAGGCCACGCCAGGAGTGCTACTTCCTCGTAGTTGTGGATGAGTTCTCCCGCTAAACCACGGTGTTTCCTTTGCAGCGAAAGGCCGATGTGCCTGACGCTCTGCCAGAGATGGCTGGCGCAGCCACAGAACGGCTGAATGGTTCAGGCATAATGTGGGAGTGTGGGAGGCACGCACGCACCAAAGACGATAGCGGCGGTGTCGGACTGCTGGTTGAGGTTGCCGTGCACACTCACGAGGACATTTTGCATACACCCCATAGATGCTGGCTGCCACAGCGTTGGACTGCTGGTTTTAAGGTTCTAGGTACATAGAGACTGTCGTATAGGAGTAAACCAAGTTTCACATGAATCAGGCATAGCGTGGGAGGGTGGGAGGGCGGGTGGCACGCACCGAAGATGATAGCGGCGGTGTTGGACCGGTGGTTGAGGTTGCCATGCACACTCACGAGCGTGTTGGGCTTCACTGTCACTGTGATGATGCCCGGGTTCACGAATGGCACCACCTGGTGATCACAAATGGCACGGCGGCATGGTGGAATGGCAGGGAGTTGTGTCAGCAGGTAAAGGGACAGGAGAGAGATAGCATCATGACAGGGACAGGACAGGGATGGCTTGGAGTCAACATCATGGCCCAACCTCAAGTGACATAGTGTGTGTGCTGCATGAAATTTGAAGGTGTGTGGCATGGCATGGCATGTCAACGTGTGTGGCATAGCATGGCATGGCATGTCAACGTGTGTGGCATGGCATGGCATGGCATGTCAAGGTGTGTAGCATGGCATGGCATGGCATGGCATGGCATGGCATGGCATGGCATGTCAAGGTGTGTGGCATGGCATGGCATGTCAAGGTGTGTGGCATGACATGGCATGTCAAGGTGTATGGCATGGCATGACATGGCATGGCATGGCATGTCAAGGTGTGTGGCATGGCATGGCATGGCATGGCATGGCATGGCATGGCATGGCATGGCATGGCATGGCAAGGCGTGTGGCGTGGCATGGCATGGCATGGCATGGCATGTCAAGGCGTGTGGCATGGCATGGAATGGCATGGCATGTCAAGGCGTGTGGCATGGCAAGACAGCTTCCCTGAGAGAGACACTCACTCGGAACTTGAACAGCCGGCCTGACAGCCTGGCGAGCACCACAGGGTAGCCGCCAGTGACGTTGAGGGAGTTGAGCAGCCGCTGCTTCAGTGACGATGCTGAGCTCGTCGCATCCGTGCCGTCTGCTGCGTCCTCTGCTGCACCGCCTGTGCTGCCCGCCTTCCCTGAGCTCACTGCCGCTCTTGACACCCCTCCAACCCCTCCAACCCCTCCAACCCCTCCCACTCGTCCTGCTCCTCCTCCTGCTCCTCCTGCTCCTGCTACTCCTGCTGCTGCTGCTCCTGTCCTTCCTCCCACGCCTCCCACCCCCGCCCCTCCCCCCGCATCCTCAAAATTCAAAGGCGCATCCGATTCCGCATCCGACTCTTCATCACCCCCAGCAGCAGTCTCAGAGATGTTCGTCCCAGTGGGGGTGAGCGGGGCGACAGAGGGGATGCGAGTGGAGAGCACGAGGTAGAAGACGAGGTCGAGGGGGCGGTGGGAGGAGAAGAGCTGGTGGCACGAGGGCACAGGGACCAGGACTGTGCTGTTTGCTAGAGCTTCCACTGACCCCACCACCACTGCACGCGCGCTGCTGCTGGTGGCGCTGATGCTGCTGCTGGCGCTGATGCTGCTGCTGGCGCCGCCTGGTATGTTCCCCACTCCACTGCCACTCACGCTGCTGCTTCCGCCTATAGGAAGGCGTGGTATCCCACCGCCGGCAGCACTCAGCCTGATGCTGCCCGCGCTGATCCCACTTGTGAGACCCATGGCACTTGTGCCACTGCTGCTGCCACTGCCGCTCGTGCCGTCACTGCTCCCCACATCAACAACCACAGGCGAGCAGCCTCTGCCGTCAGATAATTCGCCCCCACCGCTGCCGCTACTCCTGCCACTGCTGCTGCCACTGCTATTGCCACTGCGATTGCCACTGGCATTGGCAATACTGGCAGCGGCGCCATGCACCCAGGAGGCGAGCTGGTCGCCGTAGGTGTCGGCGAGGCTTGTGAGGCTGACTGGCTGCATGGCGGCTGCGAGCAGCGCCACTGTGAAATTACTCAGGTCTGGAGGAGGGGGGAAGGGGGGAGTGGGGGAGGGGGTTCAAGGGGAGTGGGGCAGGGGAAGGGGAGCGTGGCAGGGGAATAGGGGTGGGGAATGTGGAATGGCAGGAGGCGAGCTGGTGTCCATAGGTGGCGGTGAGAGTTGGAGGCCGACCGAGGTCATGGCAGCGACGGCGAGGGCCGTAGTTGCGCAGGTATGGGCGAGGAAGGGGGGGAGGGTGAGAGGAACAGGGGGAGCGGGGAGTGGGGATGGGGGCGAAAAGAGGGGGGCGAGGGGAAGGGGGTGTGGTAGGGGAACGGGGGTGGGGAAAGGGGGAATGGCAGAGGGGGGGGGAGGTTAGCCTAGAAAGATGATAGTTGGCAGCAGATGGCGACAGTCAATAGGAGTGGCGTGGAAGCGGAAAGGCGTACCATGGCGAATGCGGATGACGGTGTTGTTGCCCTGCTGCACGAACGTGCGGTTACCACACGCGTCCTCGCGCACGCGCACCACCACCCGCCCTGTGAGCGCCGTGGGGAGCACGTCCACTGTGTACTCTCGCCCCCACCGCACCTGCCGCCAGGACGCATAGTCGATAACCCCGCTCTCCCGCACTCTCAGCTGGTGGCACAGTCGAACAAGGGGGTGAAGAGGGAGGGAGGGCGAGCGGGAGGAGGGTGAGCAGCGGAGAAGGGTGAGCGCCGTGGGGAGCACGTCCACTGTGTACTCGCGCCCCCACCGCACCTGCCGCCACAATGCATGGTCGATAATGCCGCTCTCCCGCACTCTCAGCTGGTGGCACAGTCGAACAGGGAGGTACAGAGGGAGAGGGAGAGAGGCATGAGGAAGGGGTGTGGAGAGTGGAGGGAGGGGGTGTGGGGGATTGCAGGAGAGGGTGGGGGAGGGGTGGGAGAGGGGTGGGGGAGGGATGGAGGGGTGGGAGGAATTGAAACCGCCATAAGGAGGCACAGGCACAGGGAGGGGCAGAGGGAAGCTAAGACTCACTGTAACAGAACAGGAGGTACGGCGGGTGACGGGTGATGGAGAAGGAAACAAACAACCTCTCATGTGAATGAAGACATGTAAAGAAAGGCATTTGCTGTGTGTGCGAAAACGAGCTGGGGACGGAGGGACATGTGCCTATACCAGGGAGCCCATATACGTTCTGTGAGCGCTCGGCTGAACGAGGAGGTCCCATTTCCAAAGTGACAGAGGGTGTGAGTGCGTGTGACTGTACCGAGCAGTGGTGGGTGTGAGTGCGTGTGATTATACCCAGCAGTACTGGGTGGGTGGTGTGGGAGTGTGACTATACCGAGCAGAAGCGTGCGTTGCAGCGGAAGGCAGGGCAGGGGCGGTTGAAGAGGATGGTGACGTGGGAGCGGTTGTTCTGCTGGGTGATCCTCGTGTAGGTCATGCTGGGACTCATGGGCGCCGCTGCCACTGCACGCATGGAAGGGGGGAGGGAAGAGAAGGGGGGAAGAAGGATGAAGGTCATGGTGAGAGAGGCTGCTCTGCCGGGTGATCCTCGTGTATGTCATGGTGGGACTCATGGGCGCTGGAGAGGGGGGGACGGTGGGAAAGGGGAGGAGTTGCCAGGGGCGTGGCAGGGTGAAGGTCATGCTGGGAGCGGTTGCTCTGCTGGGACTCATGGGCGCTGCTGCGCGCATGAGGGGAGGGGGGAGGAGGAAAGGGGGGGAGAGGGGGGGAAGAGGATGGGGAGAAAGGGGGGGAGAAGGGGGGAAGAGGATGGGGAGAAAGGGGTGAGAGGGGGAGAGTGAGGGGGAGAGGGGGGAAGAGGGTGGGAAGAGAGGGGAGAGAAGGGGGGAAAGGGGGTGGAAAGAAGGGGGGGAAGGAGGGGGGAGAGGGGGGAAAGAAGGTGGGAAGAGGAGGGAAGAGGGGGGAAGAGGGTGGGAAGAGGTGGGGGGAGAGGGGTAAAGAGGGGAGAGAGGGTGGAAAGAGAGGGGGAGAGGGTGGGGAGAGAGGGGAAGCTGGGGGGATTGGAGGGGGAGAGTGGGGGAGAGGGTGTGAAGAAGTGGGGGGGAGATGGGGGAGAAGGGGGAGAGAGGGGTGAAGGCCATGCTGGGTCTCATGGCCGCTTCTGCTGGGGGCGAGGCAGTGTGGGATGCAGCGCGAGGTGCGATGGGGGGAGGAGTGACCACATGCGAATCGCGTGATCCCACGACCTGCCACTCATCTCTGCCACTCATCTCTGCCACTCATCTCTGCCACTCATCTCTGCCACTCATCTCTGCCACTCATCTCTGCCACTCATCTCTGCCACTCATCTCTGCCACTCATCTCTGCCACTCATCTCTGCCACTCATCTCTGCCACTCATCTCTGCCACTCATCTCTGCCACTCATCTCTGCCACTCATCTCTGCCACTCATCTCTGCCACTCATCTCTGCCACTCATCTCTGCCACTCATCTCTGCCACTCATCTCTGCCACTCATCTCTGCCACTCATCTCTGCCACTCATCTCTGCCACTCATCTCTGCCACTCATCTCTGCCACTCATCTCTGCCACTCATCTCTGCCACTCATCTCTGCCACTCATCTCTGCCACTCATCTCTGCCACTCATCTCTGCCACTCATCTCTGCCACTCATCTCTGCCACTCATCTCTGCCACTCATCTCTGCCACTCATCTCTGCCACTCATCTCTGCCACTCATCTCTGCCACTCATCTCTGCCACTCATCTCTGCCACTCATCTCTGCCACTCATCTCTGCCACTCATCTCTGCCACTCATCTCTGCCACTCATCTCTGCCACTCATCTCTGCCACTCATCTCTGCCACTCATCTCTGCCACTCATCTCTGCCACTCATCTCTGCCACTCATCTCTGCCACTCATCTCTGCCACTCATCTCTGCCACTCATCTCTGCCACTCATCTCTGCCACTCATCTCTGCCACTCATCTTCTGCCACTCATCTCTGCCACTCATCTCTGCCACTCATCTCTGCCACTCTCTCTGCCACTCATCTCTGCCACTCATCTCTGCCACTCATCTCTGCCACTCATCTCTGCCACTCATCTCTGCCACTCATCGCCTGCCACTCATCTCTGCCACTCATCTCTGCCACTCATCTCTGCCACTCATCTCTGCCACTCATCTCTGCCACTCATCTCTGCCACTCATCTCTGCCACTCATCTCTGCCACTCATCTCTGCCACTCATCTCTGCCACTCATCTCTGCCACTCATCTCTGCCACTCATCTCTGCCACTCATCTCTGCACTCATCTCTGCCACTCATCTCTGCACTCATCTCTGCCTCCTGCCACTCATCTCTGCCACTCATCTCTGCATCATCTGCCACTCATCTCTGCCACTCATCTCTGCCACTCATCTCTGCCACTCATCTCTGCCACTCATCTCTGCCACTCATCTCTGCCACTCATCTCTGCCACTCATCTCTGCCACTCATCTCTGCCACTCATCTCTGCCACTCATCTCTGCCACTCATCTCTGCCACTCATCTCTGCCACTCATCTCTGCCACTCATCTCTGCCACTCATCTCTGCCACTCACTCATCTCTGCCACTCATCTCTGCCACTCATCTCTGCCACTCATCTCTGCCACTCATCTCTGCCACTCATCTCTGCCACTCATCTCTGCCACTCATCTCTGCCACTCATCTCTGCCACTCATCTCTGCCACTCATCTCTGCCACTCATCTCTGCCACTCATCTCTGCCACTCATCTCTGCCACTCATCTCTGCCACTCATCTCTGCCACTCATCTCTGCCACTCATCTCTGCCACTCATCTCTGCCACTCATCTCTGCCACTCATCTCTGCCACTCATCTCTGCCACTCATCTCTGCCACTCATCTCTGCCACTCATCTCTGCCACTCATCTCTGCCACTCATCTCTGCCACTCATCTCTGCAACTCATCTCTGCCACTCATCTCTGCACTCATCTCTGCCACTCATCTCTGCCACTCAGCTCTTGCAACTCATCTCTGCCACTCATCTCTGCCACTCATCTCTGCCACTCATCTCATGCCACTACATCTCTGCCACTCATCTCTGCCACTCATCTCTGCCACTCATCTCTGCCACTCATCTCTGCCACTCATCTCTGGCCACTCATCTCGGCCACTCATCTCTGCCACTCATCTCTGCCACTCATCTCTGCCACTCATCTCTGCCACTCATCTCTGCCACTCATCTCTGCCACTCATCTCTGCCACTCATCTCTGCCACTCATCTCTGCCACTCATCTCTGCCACTCATCTCTGCCACTCATCTCTGCCACTCCATCTCTGCCACTCATCTCTGCCACTCATCTCTGCCACTCATCTCTGCCACTCATCTCTGCCACTCATCTCTGCCACTCATCTCTGCCACTCATCTCTGCCACTCATCTACTGCCACTCATCTCTGCCACTCATCTCTGCCACTCATCTCTGCCACTCATCTCTGCCACTCATCTCTGCCACTCATCTCTCCACTCATCTCTGCCACTCATCTCTGCCACTCATCTCTTGCCATCTCTCTGCCACTCATCTCTGCCACTCATCTCTGCCACTCATCTCCTGCCACTCATCTCTGCCACTCATCTCTGCCACTCTCTCTGCCACTCATCTCTGCCACTCATCTCTGCCACTCTCTCTCTGCCACTCATCTCTGCCACTCATCTCTGCCACTCATCTCTCCACTCATCTCTGCCACTCATCTCTGCACTCATCTCTGCCACTCATCTCTGCCACTCATCTCTTGCCACTCATCTCTGCCACTCATCTCTGCCACTCATCTCTGCCACTCATCTCTGCCACTCATCTCTGCCACTCATCTCTGCCACTCATCTCTGCCACTCATCTCTGCCACTCATCTCTGCAGCTCATCTCTGCCACTCATCTCTGCCACTCATCTCTGCCACTCATCTCTGCCACTCATACTCTGGCCACTGATCTATGCCACTCATCTCTGCCAGCTCATCCTCTGCCACTCAATCTCTGCCACTCATCTCTGCCACTCATCTCTGCCACTCATCTCTGCCACTCATACTCTGCCACTCATCTCTGCCACTCATCTCTGCCACTCATCTCTGCCACTCATCTCTGCCACTCATCTCTGCCACTCATCTCTGCCACTCATCTCTGCCACTCATCTCTGCCACTCATCTCTGCCACTCATCTCTGCCACTCATCTTCTGCCACTCATCTCTGCCACTCATCTCTGCCACTCATCTCTGCCACTCATCTCTGCCACTCATCTCTGCCACTCATCTCTGCCACTCATCTCTGCCACTCATCTCTGCCACTCATCTCTGCCACTCATCTCTGCCACTCATCTCTGCCACTCATCTCTGCCACTCATCTCTGCCACTCATCTCTGCCACTCATCTCTGCCAACTCATCTCTGCCACTCATCTCTGCCACTCATCTCTGCCACTCATCTCTGCCACTCATCTCTGCCACTCATCTCTGCCACTCATCTCTGCCACTCATCTCTGCCCACTCATCTCTGCCACTCATCTCTGCCACTCATCTCTGCCACTCATCTCTGCCACTCATCTCTGCCACTCATCTCTGCCACTCATCTCTGCCACTCATCTCTGCCACTCATCTCTGCCACTCATCTCTGCCACTCATCTCTGCCACTCATCTCTGCCACTCATCTCTGCCACTCATCTCTGCCACTCATCTCTGCCACTCATCTCTGCCACTCATCTCTGCCACTCATCTCTGCCACTCATCTCTGCCACTCATCTCTGCCACTCATCTCTGCCACTCATCTCTGCCACTCATCTCTGCCACTCATCTCTGCCACTCATCTCTGCCACTCATCTCTGCCACTCATCTCTGCCACTCATCTCTGCCACTCATCTCTGCCACTCATCTCTGCCACTCATCTCTGCCACTCATCTCTGCCACTCATCTCTGCCACTCATCTCTGCCACTCATCTCTGCCACTCATCTCTGCCACTCATCTCTGCCACTCATCTCTGCCACTCATCTCTGCCACTCATCTCTGCCACTCATCTCTGCCACTCATCTCTGCCACTCATCTCTGCCACTCATCTCTGCCACTCATCTCTGCCACTCATCTCTGCCACTCATCTCTGCCACTCATCTCTGCCACTCATCTCTGCCACTCATCTCTGCCACTCATCTCTGCCACTCATCTCTGCCACTCATCTCTGCCACTCATCTCTGCCACTCATCTCTGCCACTCATCTCTGCCACTCATCTCTGCCACTCATCTCTGCCACTCATCTCTGCCACTCATCTCTGCCACTCATCTCTGCCACTCATCTCTGCCACTCATCTCTGCCACTCATCTCTGCCACTCATCTCTGCCACTCATCTCTGCCACTCATCTCTGCCACTCATCTCTGCCACTCATCTCTGCCACTCATCTCTGCCACTCATCTCTGCCACTCATCTCTGCCACTCATCTCTGCCACTCATCTCTGCCACTCATCTCTGCCACTCATCTCTGCCACTCATCTCTGCCACTCATCTCTGCCACTCATCTCTGCCACTCATCTCTGCCACTCATCTCTGCCACTCATCTCTGCCACTCATCTCTGCCACTCATCTCTGCCACTCATCTCTGCCACTCATCTCTGCCACTCATCTCTGCCACTCATCTCTGCCACTCATCTCTGCCACTCATCTCTGCCACTCATCTCTGCCACTCATCTCTGCCACTCATCTCTGCCACTCATCTCTGCCACTCATCTCTGCCACTCATCTCTGCCACTCATCTCTGCCACTCATCTCTGCCACTCATCTCTGCCACTCATCTCTGCCACTCATCTCTGCCACTCATCTCTGCCACTCATCTCTGCCACTCATCTCTGCCACTCATCTCTGCCACTCATCTCTGCCACTCATCTCTGCCACTCATCTCTGCCACTCATCTCTGCCACTCATCTCTGCCACTCATCTCTGCCACTCATCTCTGCCACTCATCTCTGCCACTCATCTCTGCCACTCATCTCTGCCACTCATCTCTGCCACTCATCTCTGCCACTCATCTCTGCCACTCATCTCTGCCACTCATCTCTGCCACTCATCTCTGCCACTCATCTCTGCCACTCATCTCTGCCACTCATCTCTGCCACTCATCTCTGCCACTCATCTCTGCCACTCATCTCTGCCACTCATCTCTGCCACTCATCTCTGCCACTCATCTCTGCCACTCATCTCTGCCACTCATCTCTGCCACTCATCTCTGCCACTCATCTCTGCCACTCATCTCTGCCACTCATCTCTGCCACTCATCTCTGCCACTCATCTCTGCCACTCATCTCTGCCACTCATCTCTGCCACTCATCTCTGCCACTCATCTCTGCCACTCATCTCTGCCACTCATCTCTGCCACTCATCTCTGCCACTCATCTCTGCCACTCATCTCTGCCACTCATCTCTGCCACTCATCTCTGCCACTCATCTCTGCCACTCATCTCTGCCACTCATCTCTGCCACTCATCTCTGCCACTCATCTCTGCCACTCATCTCTGCCACTCATCTCTGCCACTCATCTCTGCCACTCATCTCTGCCACTCATCTCTGCCACTCATCTCTGCCACTCATCTCTGCCACTCATCTCTGCCACTCATCTCTGCCACTCATCTCTGCCACTCATCTCTGCCACTCATCTCTGCCACTCATCTCTGCCACTCATCTCTGCCACTCATCTCTGCCACTCATCTCTGCCACTCATCTCTGCCACTCATCTCTGCCACTCATCTCTGCCACTCATCTCTGCCACTCATCTCTGCCACTCATCTCTGCCACTCATCTCTGCCACTCATCTCTGCCACTCATCTCTGCCACTCATCTCTGCCACTCATCTCTGCCACTCATCTCTGCCACTCATCTCTGCCACTCATCTCTGCCACTCATCTCTGCCACTCATCTCTGCCACTCATCTCTGCCACTCATCTCTGCCACTCATCTCTGCCACTCATCTCTGCCACTCATCTCTGCCACTCATCTCTGCCACTCATCTCTGCCACTCATCTCTGCCACTCATCTCTGCCACTCATCTCTGCCACTCATCTCTGCCACTCATCTCTGCCATCATCTCTGCCACTCATCTCTGCCACTCATCTCTGCCACTCATCTCTGCCACTCATCTCTGCCACTCATCTCTGCCACTCATCTCTGCCACTCATCTCTGCCACTCATCTCTGCCACTCAGCTCTGCCACTCATACTCTGCCACTCATCTCTGCCACTCATCTCTGCCACTCATCTCTGCCACTCATCTCTGCCACTCATCTCTGCCTCACTCTGCCACTCATCTCTGCCACTCATCTCTGCCACTCATCTCTGCCACTCATCTCTGCCACTCATCTCTGCCACTCATCTCTGCCACTCATCTCTGCCACTCATCTCTGCCACTCATCTCTGCCACTCATCTCTGCCACTCATCTCTGCACATCTCCACTCATCTCTGCCACTCATCTCTGCCACTCATCTCTGCCACTCATCTCTGCCACTCATCTCTGCCACTCATCTCTGCCACTCATCTCTGCCACTCATCTCTGCCACTCATCTCTGCCACTCATCTCTGGCCACTCATCTCTGCCACTCATCTCTGCCACTCATCGTCTGCCACTCATCTCTGCCACTCAGCTCTGCCACTCATCTCTGCCACTCATCGCTGCCACTCATCTCTGCCACTCATCTCTGCCACTCATCTCTGCCACTCATCTCTGCCACTCATCTCTGCCACTCATCTCTGCCACTCATCTCTGCCACTCATCTCTGCCACTCATCTCTGCCACTCATCTCTGCCACTCATCTCTGCCCACTCATCTCTGCACTCATCTCTGCCACTCATCTCTGCCACTCATCTCTGCCACTCATCTCTGCCACTCATCTCTGCCACTCATCTCTGCCACTCATCTCTGCCACTCATCTCTGCCACTCATCTCTGCCACTCATCTCTGCCACTCATCTCTGCCACTCATCTCTGCCACTCATCTCTGCCACTCATCTCTGTCCACTCATCTCTGCACTCATCTCTGCCACTCATCTCTGCCACTCATCTCTGCCACTCATCTCTGCCACTCATCTCTGCCACTCATCTCTGGCCACTCATCTCTGCCACTCATCTCTGCCACTCATCTCTGCCACTCATCTCTGCCACTCATCTCTGCCACTCATCTCTGCACCTCATCTCTGCCACTCATCTCTGGCCACTCATCTCTGCCACTGCATCTCTGCCACTCATCTCTGCCAATCATCCTCTGCCACTCATTCTCTGCCACTCATTCTCTGCCACTCATCCTGCCACTCATCTCTGCCACTCATCTCTGCCACTCAGCTCTGCCACTCATCTCTGCCACTCATCTCTGCCACTCATCTCTGCCACTCATCTCTGCCACTCATCTCTGCCACTCATCGTCTGCCACTCATCTCTGCCACTCCATCTCTGCCACTCATCTCTGCCACTCATCTCTGCCACTCATCTCTGCACTCATCTCTGCACTCATCTCTGCCACTCATCTCTGCCACTCATCTCTGCCACTCATCTCTGCCACTCATATCTGCCACTCATCTCTGCCACTCATCTCTGCCACTCATCTCTGCCACTCATCTCTGCCACTCATCTCTGCCACTCATCTCTGCCACTCATCTCTGCCACTCATCTCTGCCACTCCATCTCTGCCACTCATCTCTGCCACTCATCTCTGCCACTCATCTCTGCCACTCATCTCTGCCACTCATCTCTGCCACTCATCTCTGCCACTCATCTCTGCCACTGCAATCTCTGCCACTCATCTCTGCCACTCATCTCTGCCACTCATCTCTGCCACTCATCTCTGCCACTCATCTCTGCCACTCATCTCTGCCACTCATCTCTGCCCACCTGCATCATCTCTGCCACTCATCTCTGCCACTCATCTCTGCCACTCATCTCTGCCACTCATCTCTGCCACTCATCTCTGCCACTCATCTCTTGCCACTCATCTCTGCCACTCCATCTCTGCCACTCATCTCTGCCACTCATCTCATGCCACTCATCTCTGCCACTCATCTCTGCCACTCATCTCTGCCACTCATCTCTGCCACTCATCTCTGCCACTCATCTCTGCCACTCATCTCTGCACTCATCTCTGCCACTCATCTCTGCCACTCATCTCTGCCACTCATCTCTGCCACTCATCTCTGCCACTCATCTCTGCCACTCATCTCTGCCACTCATCTCTGCCACTCATCTCTGCCACTCATCTCTGCCACTCATCTCTGCCACTCATCTCTGCCACTCATCTCTGCCACTCATCTCTGCCACTCATCTCTGCCACTCATCTCTGCCACTCATCTCTGCCACTCATCTCTGCCACTCATCTCTGCCACTCATCTCTGCCACTCATCTCTGGCCACTCATCTCTGCCACTCATCTCTGCCACTCATCTCTGCCACTCATCTCTGCCACTCATCTCTGCCACTCATCTCTGCCACTCATCTCTGCCACTCATCTCTGCCACTCATCTCTGCCACTCATCTCTGCCACTCATCTCTGCCACTCATCTCTGCCACTCATCTCTGCCACTCATCTCTGCCACTCATCTCTGCCACTCATCTCTGCCACTCATCTCTCATCCTCTGCCACTCATCTCTGCCACTCATCTCTGCCACTCATCTCTGCCACTCATCTCTGCCACTCATCTCTGCCACTCATCTCTGCCACTCATCTCTGCCACTCATCTCTGCCACTCATCTCTGCCACTCATCTCTGCCACTCATCTCTGCCACTCATCTCTGCCACTCATCTCTGCACTCTCTCTGCCACTCATCTCTGCCACTCATCTCTGCCACTCATCTCTGCCACTCATCTCTGCCACTCATCTCTGCCACTCATCTCTGCCACTCATCTCTGCCACTCATCTCTGCCACTCATCTCTGCCACTCATCTCTGCCACTCATCTCTGCCACTCATCTCTGCCACTCATCTCTGCCACTCATCTCTGCCACTCATCTCTGCCACTCATCTCTGCCACTCATCTCTGCCACTCATCTCTGCCACTCATCTCTGCCACTCATCTCTGCCACTCATCTCTGCCACTCATCTCTGCCACTCATCTCTGCCACTCATCTTGCCACTCATCTCTGCCACTCATCTCCTCGCCACTCATCTCTGCCAATCATCTCTGCCACTCATCTCTGCCACTCATCTCTGCCACTCATCTCTGCCACTCATCTCTCGCCACTCATCTCTGCCACTCATCTCTGCCACTGCATCTCTGCCACTCATCTCTGCCACTCATCTCTGCCACTCATCCTCTGCCACTCATCTCTGCCACTCATCTCTGCCACTCATCTCTGCCACTCATCTCTGCCACTCATCCTCTGCCACTCATCTCTGCCACTCAATCTCTGCCACTCATCTGCCCTCTCTCTGCCACTCATCTCTGCCACTCATTCTCTGCCACTCTCTCTGCCACTCATCTCTGCCACTCATCTCTGCCACTCATCTCTGCCACTCATCTCTGCCACTCATCTCTGCCACTCATCTCTGCCACTCATCTCTGCCACTCATCTCTGCCACTCATCTCTGCCACTCATCTCTGCCACTCATCTCTGCCACTCATCTCTGCCACTCCATCCTCTGCCACTCATCTCTGCCACTCATCTCTGCCACTCATTCTCTTCCACTCATCTCTGCCACTCATCTCTGCCACTCATCTCTGCCACTCATCTCTGCCACTCATCTCTGCCACTCATCTCTGCCACTCATCTCTGCCACTCATCTCTGCCACTCATCTCTGCCACTCATCTCTGCCACTCATCTCTGCCACTCATCTCTGCCACTCATCTCTGCCACTCATCTCTGCCACTCATCTCTGCCACTCATCTCTGCCACTCATCTCTGCCACTCATCTCTGCCACTCATCTCTGCCACTCATCTCTGCCACTCATCTCTGCCACTCATCTCTGCCACTCATCTCTGCCACTCATCTCTGCCACTCATCTCTGCACATCTGCATCTCTGCCACTCATCTCTGCCACTCATCTCTGCCACTCATCTCTGCCACTCATCTCTGCCACTCATCTCTGCCACTCATCTCTGCCACTCATCTCTGCCACTCATCTCTGCCACTCATCTCTGCCACTCATCTCTGCCACTCATCTCTGCCACTCATCTCTGCCACTCATCTCTGCCACTCATCTCTGCCACTCATCTCTGCCACTCATCTCTGCCACTCATCTCTGCCACTCATCTCTGCCACTCATCTCTGCCACTCATCTCTGCCACTCATCTCTGCCACTCATCTCTGCCACTCATCTCTGCCACTCATCTCTGCCACTCATCTCTGCCACTCATCTCTGCCACTCATCTCTGCCACTCATCTCTGCCACTCATCTCTGCCACTCATCTCTGCCACTCATCTCTGCCACTCATCTCTGCCACTCATCTCTGCCACTCATCTCTGCCACTCATCTCTGCCACTCATCTCTGCCACTCATCTCTGCCACTCATCTCTGCCACTCATCTCTGCCACTCATCTCTGCCACTCATCTCTGCCACTCATCTCTGCCACTCATCTCTGCCACTCATCTCTGCCACTCATCTCTGCCACTCATCTCTGCCACTCATCTCTGCCACTCATCTCTGCCACTCATCTCTGCCACTCATCTCTGCCACTCATCTCTGCCACTCATCTCTGCCACTCATCTCTGCCACTCATCTCTGCCACTCATCTCTGCCACTCATCTCTGCCACTCATCTCTGCCACTCATCTCTGCCACTCATCTCTGCCACTCATCTCTGCCACTCATCTCTGCCACTCATCTCTGCCACTCATCTCTGCCACTCATCTCTGCCACTCATCTCTGCCACTCATCTCTGCCACTCATCTCTGCCACTCATCTCTGCCACTCATCTCTGCCACTCATCTCTGCCACTCATCTCTGCCACTCATCTCTGCCACTCATCTCTGCCACTCATCTCTGCCACTCATCTCTGCCACTCATCTCTGCCACTCATCTCTGCCACTCATCTCTGCCACTCATCTCTGCCACTCATCTCTGCCACTCATCTCTGCCACTCATCTCTGCCACTCATCTCTGCCACTCATCTCTGCCACTCATCTCTGCCACTCATCTCTGCCACTCATCTCTGCCACTCATCTCTGCCACTCATCTCTGCCACTCATCTCTGCCACTCATCTCTGCCACTCATCTCTGCCACTCATCTCTGCCAATCATCTCTGCCACTCATCTCTGCCACTCATCTCTGCCACTCATCTCTGCCACTCATATCTGCCACTCATCTCTGCCACTCATCTCTGCCACTCATCTCTGCCACTCATCTCTGGCCACTCATCTCTGCCACTCATCTCTGCACTCATCTCTGCCACTCATCTCTGCCACTCATCTCCTGCCACTCATCTCTGCCACTCATCTCTGCCACTCATCTCTGCCACTCATCTCTGCCACTCATCTCTGCCACTCATCTCTGCCACTCATCTCTGCCACTCATCTCTGCCACTCATCTCTGCCACTCATCTCTGCCACTATCTCTGCCACTCATCTGCTGCCACTCATCTCCCTCATCTCTGCCACTCATCTCTGCCACTCATCTCTGCCACTCATCTCTGCCACTCATCTCTGCCACTCATCTCTGCCACTCATCTCTGCCACTCATCTCTGCACTCATCTCTGCCACTCATCTCTGCCACTCATCTCTGCCACTCATCTCATGCCCTCCTCTCTGCCACTCATCTCTGCCACTCATCTCTGCCACTCATCTCTGCCACTCATCTCTGCCACTCATCTCTGCCACTCATCTCTGCCACTCATCTCTGCCACTCATCTCTGCCACTCATCTCTGCCACTCATCTCTGCCACTCATCTCTGCCACTCATCTCTGCCACTCATCTCTGCCACTCATCTCTGCCACTCATCTCTGCCACTCATCTCTGCCACTCATCTCTGCCACTCATCTCTGCCACTCATCTCTGCCACTCATCTCTGCCACTCATCTCTGCCACTCATCTCTGCCACTCATCTCTGCCACTCATCTCTGCCACTCATCTCTGCCACTCATCTCTGCCACTCATCTCTGCCACTCATCTCTGCCACTCATCTCTGCCACTCATCTCTGCCACTCATCTCTGCCACTCATCTCTGCCACTCATCTCTGCCACTCATCTCTGCCACTCATCTCTGCCACTCATCTCTGCCACTCATCTCTGCCACTCATCTCTGCCACTCATCTCTGCCACTCATCTCTGCCACTCATCTCTGCCACTCATCTCTGCCACTCATCTCTGCCACTCATCTCTGCCACTCATCTCTGCCACTCATCTCTGCCACTCATCTCTGCCACTCATCTCTGCCACTCATCTCTGCCACTCATCTCTGCCACTCATCTCTGCCACTCATCTCTGCCACTCATCTCTGCCACTCATCTCTGCCACTCATCTCTGCCACTCATCTCTGCCACTCATCTCTGCCACTCATCTCTGCCACTCATCTCTGCCACTCATCTCTGCCACTCATCTCTGCCACTCATCTCTGCCACTCATCTCTGCCACTCATCTCTGCCACTCATCTCTGCCACTCATCTCTGCCACTCATCTCTGCCACTCATCTCTGCCACTCATCTCTGCCACTCATCTCTGCCACTCATCTCTGCCACTCATCTCTGCCACTCATCTCTGCCACTCATCTCTGCCACTCATCTCTGCCACTCATCTCTGCCACTCATCTCTGCCACTCATCTCTGCCACTCATCTCTGCCACTCATCTCTGCCACTCATCTCTGCCACTCATCTCTGCCACTCATCTCTGCCACTCATCTCTGCCACTCATCTCTGCCACTCATCTCTGCCACTCATCTCTGCCACTCATCTCTGCCACTCATCTCTGCCACTCATCTCTGCCACTCATCTCTGCCACTCATCTCTGCCACTCATCTCTGCCACTCATCTCTGCCACTCATCTCTGCCACTCATCTCTGCCACTCATCTCTGCCACTCATCTCTGCCACTCATCTCTGCCACTCATCTCTGCCACTCATCTCTGCCACTCATCTCTGCCACTCATCTCTGCCACTCATCTCTGCCACTCATCTCTGCCACTCATCTCTGCCACTCATCTCTGCCACTCATCTCTGCCACTCATCTCTGCCACTCATCTCTGCCGCGCGCTCATCCGTTTACTATCTTTCCTAAGGCATCTTGCCGCCTCCTAATGCCATCTTTCCGTCTATGGCGTAGTCCCGTCTACCCTAACGCCGTCTTTCCGTCTAACCTAATGCCGTGATTCCGTCTACCCTAATGCCGTCCTTTCAGCGTCCATCACCCTAAACCCCCCTCCCTGACCCCGCGAGCCCTCTCTGTCGCCCCTCACCTGATCCCGCTTCCACTCCACCCGGCGCGCCCACCACGAAGTCCAGAATGCCCCACCCGCTCGCCTGCCCGCTTTTCTCCTGCGCGACAATGTCGAACCGATGGTAACCGTCCTGCACGTCCGTCAGCCGCACTCGCCGCGTGTCGCACGGAATCATCCATTGGTCCAGCTGGCCGGGAAGGGAAGAACGGGTTCGCGCGAGTAAGGAGACATTTAGCCGGGAGGAAAGAAAGTGATGACTAGGAAAAAAATAACTGGAGGAAGACAACACAACGAGAACTGTTTTCCAATACGGAACTGCGTGATACAGACACAATTAAAGCCCGAAGATGTGATTTTCTAATGATACAGATATTTTCAATCTGAGCAAAGACAGCAGACTGAGTCATGATGCGACGGGAGGCTGTCCGCTTACCGCGCACGACACGAGGCAGTCGCGGCACGTCTCGTTGCCGACGATCTTGCGCACGTCGAAGTAGACCCGCACCACCTGCTTCCCCTTCTTCGACTTCCCCTGCGCGCCCGAGGGAAAGAGAACCTTCAACCTGCGGGCAGCAAGCACGTTATCGCTGCCCGTCGTCGAAACCCCGCTCGTCGTTGACCGCTTATTTCGCTTTAACAACATTTTGTCGTCGGGCAGCGGGGTAGTATTGCTGCCTGGAGAAATGTTTCCCACCCAAACCACGTCTTCAGGCCCCGATTCGTCCGGCCCGTTATCCTCGCTATAGTAGTCCTCGTCATAGTCCGCATCGGATTCAGCAACAGACGACGGCGCTACAGGGGGGGAAACGGGACGAGGAGGAGTTCGACTAACGAGAGGCGGCGTTAGGGTTTGAACGGCCAGGGCGCGCCTGTCTGTGAAGCTGCTTGCTGTGTGAGAAGCTACCGGGATGCTTGCTGTGTTCGCCGCCCCTTGCGTCGACTGTAAAGGCGGCGTTAGGGTTCGAACGGACGGCGTACGCGTGTCTGGGGAGCTATCTGGCGCGTCTACCGTATCACGAGTAGCCTTAGATTGCTCGTAAACGGACGGTCTGGATGCGATCACGGGTTCGCAGCGTAAGCACAGAGCCAGCAATAAGACCAGAAACGCTGCTGACGATAGTATCTGTGTAACGGTCGCGTGGTTTCGCCGTCGACTCGTCGCCTGGTTTCGTCTGATCGTCGCTTGAGTCGGACGACTTCTTACTTTTCGAGGCGCGAGCCGACGGTGCTCCGTGAAAATGGAAAACGCTGGATGTGCTTTGGATCGCTGAGGCGACTCGACTGCAGAATGGTGGTGTACTAATACGGATTGTATGAAGGTGGAAAAGGTGGGGTTCCCTCGGTGCGTGAACCTCTCCGTGTAGAACGAGGCCGGCTTCGAGCTGCAGGGCCGATACGCCATTTCGTACTAGTTAGTACCACTAACTAGCAGTTGCCAGAGCGACTTTTTCTCTCATCGGTTCTTAACGCGGTCTCCGTAAGGGGTTCGAGTGATGAATGTCGGAGTGGTTCGACTTAGAAATGACAAAAGCAAGGGACATTGCGTGAGATCGACGGTTGAACTAGTTGGGAGGGAAACGCGCAGGTGCAGGAGAGCGGGGGGCGATAAGCTATACCGTAAGTTGACTCTAGACCAGACCCACCTCTCCATACCCCTCCCTGATCAACTCGACCTCGCTCTTGCCTGACTGGCAGCACTGCTGGTCAGATTTGAAACCCTGGAGGGTTGATTCAAATCTTACAGTTACAAAGTTTCCCGCCAAATGCTGTTCCCTTAGCCAATAGAAGTTACGAGTCAGGAGCCGCGTTTCAGGAACATTGGAACTTTCTTATCACATCTGACTGCTCTGGGCGGGGCCATTTTGCGTCTCATTATAAGTAGCTGACGTGAATGTTATTGATTTTGGGTGAACTCATAGCATAGAGTCCGCTTACAGAATTTAGACCAGGGCCTATTTTTGGTTTTGAGACACTCTTGGGAATCAGGGTGCCCCGATGACGTCACCCTGCCTGCCAGGGTATTTTTTCTTCCACCCTGTCAAAATCAGGGTAAACTTTTGAGCACCCTGATTTGTAACAAAAATGGGGGATTTGGGGCTGGGAGTGGAGAGGGAATTGTGGGGAGGGGCTTAGACGCTGCAGGGAGGGGTGCATGCCGCGCAGGGAGGGAATTGCCGGGAGTGCATGCCGCGCAGACGCTGCAGGGAGGGGTGACCAAGACGGTGGTGCCAGCGCTGAGTCTCGTGCGTGAGTACTCTGCACGAGCAAGACGCAGCTAACTGCCCTGACGCAGACGCTCGACTCGACGCAGCTACCTGACCTGACTCAGCCACCTGTGCAGACGCAGTGGTCAGTGTGTAGAGACTAGACCCAGGCTGACGAGTGAACGTAGCCAGGTGACGGCCAGTCCGGGAGCACGTACAGATCGCCACACGCTGCCCTCCAGGAATAAAGGTATCAACCCAGACATCCTGAATGGCAGCGTTGCTCACCAAGTTCGTCGAGAACGTGGGGAGGTGGAGACCTGACAAAGAACCAGAGGGGACTGCTGGACAAGGGAGGACCGTGGAGGCTCTCGCAACCACTGGGCCCCCAGAGGGATCAGCCAGTGAGACTGGGACAGGTGCTGTGAGTGGTGTGACTGTGGTGCAATCACGGAAGAAGCAACGTGACGCGCCTGAGTCAAGCGTGAAAGTGTGCAAGACCTCAGCTGAGGCAGGACCTGTGGTAGTAGACGCACTAGCACCTAGAGCGTCGGTAGACTCACGGGCACCTAGAGCTGCAGCAGACTCACTAGCACCTGGAGCGGCAGCAGACTCACTAACACCAAGAGCAGCAGTCCTAACAAAACGATAACCTCCACCACCAGGACGACCTCGCTGAATAACCCACTCACGAAGCTGCTGAGGGGTGGGGTTGTCTGGGAGAAGCAGTGCCCGCTGCTGTCCACCCCTGGCCGCAGCAACTGCCGCGGAAGTGGCCATGACAGACAGTGACGGTCAGGAGTAGGTCCAGCACCTCCAGCTCCTACATCGCCAGCAGCACCTCCTGCACTCCCAGCAGCACCTCCTCCACTCCCAGTAGCACGAGTAGGAGCAGCAGCAGTAGTAACAGCAGCAGGGCGGCGCGCGGCTAGAGCAGGGCGGCGCGCGGCCACAGCAGGGCAGTAGTAGGCAGTAGCTCCTAGGGCAGAAGCACCTAGGGTCCTCTTTTTTTTTTATAAACAATTTAATTATATTTAGGGTATAGCAGGGCGCTGGCGCAGGGCAGGGCGCTGGCGCAGGGCAGGGCGCGGGCGCAGGGCAGGGCGCTGGCGCAGGGCAGGGCGTCAGTGCGCGCAGGGCAGGGCGCTGGCGCAGGTTGCAGGGGCAGGACGCGCGGGCTGCAGGGGCGCCGCGCTGGCTGCAAAGGCAGCTCGTACGGGCTGCAGGGGCCGCGCGGACGGGCTGCAGAGGCGGCGCGCGGGCTCCAGGGGCGACGCGCGGGCTGCAGGGTCCGCGAGGACGGGCTGCAGAGGCGGCGCGCGGGCTCCAGGGGCGACGCGCGGGCTGCAGGGTCCGCGAGGACGGGCTGCAGAGGCGGCGCGCGGGCTCCAGGGGCGACGCGCGGGCTGCAGGGTCCGCGAGGACGGGCTGCATAGGCGGCGCGCGGGCTCCAGGGGCGACGCGCGGGCTGCAGGGTCCGCGAGGACGGGCTGCACAGGCGGCGCGCGGGCTCCAGGGGCGACGTGCGGGCTGGCTGCAGAGGCGACGCGCGGCTGCAGGGGCAGCGTGCGGCTGCAGGGGCAGCGTGAACGGGCTGCAGGGGCAGCGTACGGGCTGGAGGAGCAGCGCGCGGGCCACAGGGGCAGGCGCGGCTGCAGGGGCAGCACGGTAGCAGGGGCGAGCACGGCTGCAAGGGGCAGCACGGTCGTAGGGGCGAGCACGGCTGCAGGGGCAGCGCGGTCGCAGGGTCAGCGCACGGGCTGCAAGGGTCGCGACAGTGAGAGCTAGGGGCGCCAGCGCGCTGGCTACTGTGTAGGGCGTGGCGCTACCACTAGGCGGAACGGTGGGCCCATGTAGGAACGGTTCCTACTCTGATAACATGTCAAGAATACAACTAGGAATGATGGATTGGACTAGGCAAGAGGTGAGTACAAGTAGGGGAAACCTAACCCTAAAGTGTTGTACTCACTAAGGAGTGACCCTACTGTAGCCTAGAGATACAATTGTAATCTGACAGGGAGGTGTGAGGGAAACGGGGGAGTTGAGCGGGGAGTGGCGAGGGATGTGGGATAAATGGGTTCGGCAGTTGGGAGAAGTGCGAGGAATGGGGAGAAATGTGCTGAAGGTGCTAGGGAATTGGGGAGAGTGAGGCTGGGAGAGGCGAGGGTACTATGGCACGTAAGGGTAAAAATCAGCGCACACTGATCTGGACAGGGTAGAAAAATCTCCACACTTTTGAAGAAAGGGTACGGAATTGCCCACCCTTTCAAAATCAGGGTAGTCATAAAAAAATGCATTTTAGAAAGGGCAATCAGGGTATTTTACCCTTGAAACAATGCGCCTGATTTAGACCCATCTCACACCAAATAATGCGAAGTTGCATCAGGTGCAAGAAACTGACGGTTTGTAGAACCTCACCGCAATCAACATGGCAATGGGAAGGTGGCTGGACAAATGAACATGGGAATTTACATCTGCAGCTGCATTGAACATGGTTATGGGAAGCCGAATGGAAATTAAGCATCAATAGGAAGTCGGGACCAGGGCCTCAGATTCGTTTTGGCCTAGGCTGAAAAATCAGAGTTGGTACAAAACGTTTTGCTGAAAATCAGAGAAATCAGCCCTTTTTTTGCTATTTTGCACTACAAATCTATTAATTTTTCCTGTTTCGTTTCAACAAATCGCTGAAAAATCAGCCTCAGTTCTAAGGAAGGTCTGAAATCTCAGCCTTTTTTACCTAAATCAGCCTTTTTTCGCTGACTTCTGAGGCCCTGGTCGGGACTCACGATAAAAAACGAGGGTCAAACTTCAGGAATTCAGGGTAAAAATCCTGACTTCTGAGGCCCTGGTACATCAACAAGTAGGATTTGAACTATGGATCATGTTCATTCTATACTGCTCTGTATAGGATGCGTGTGTGAGGGCGCTGGATGGTAATGGGAAAAGAAAACGTAGTTATACAGACCATAATACATGGACAATGATATTCACAACCAATCATGTTCATTTGGTGATGTCCCCAACCAACCGATGATACCAAAAAAGGATATATATTTTTTGCTGTTAAGGTAACAAAACCACATGAGATGGTTGCCAGTGAATGTTCTGAAAGCACTTTTGTCGGCTGAGAGGTATGGACGGGACGGGACACATTGGACAGCGCACAGAGGTGAAGCTGCAAATGGAACCAGTGTACTGATGTCTGATGGGGAAAAGGCAGATGCGATACATGCTGCTGCAATCAAGTGATTGCTTTTCCCCTTCGTTACAATCACCATCCTGCCCCTCAGCACTTGTTTCTCACACCACCTGAGGTGGTTCACCTCCCCCAGCAGCCTGCTGCAAATGGCAGCTGGCTGCAACACAGGGAGAGAAGAGCTGGATTCCTGAAATGGAGTATATGGAGTGGCATGCGGGAAATGAAGGCTTGTGTACTGTGCGCTGCAGCGATGCAAAGTAGTAAGGTTGTCGGGTACTGCCACGGTTCACAGCATTCATTTGTTTCATGCGGGTGCGATCTGAGCAGGTGGGGACGAGATGGGAGGGTGATGGTGGGAAGGGGATGGGGATCCAGGAAGGGGAGGGACACGATGTTTTGGGCATGGGTGGGTTGGACACAAAGAAGGGGAATGATTTGATGGTATGACGGGCAGAGCATGATGAGATCATGTGATCAAACAGCTGAGGTATGGGATGAGAAGTGCGACAAAGTTATGGGACGAGGTGTGGCATGATGTATAGGACGAGGCATGGGAGGAGGCATGGAATGAAGTACAGAATGAGGCATGGAATGAGGTACATGATGAGGCATGGAAGGAGGTATGGGATGGATACAGGCGTGGGATGAGGCATTGGATAAGGCATGGGATACATTATGGGATGAGGTCTGGGATGAGGTGTGCACTGAGGCATGAGAGAGCCCATGAGGGAAGGAAGCGGAGAGCGAGAGAGAAAGAGAGCGGGCAATGTGGGGGAAAGTGGATGACAGGAGGCGGTACTGGTGCGGGTGATGTGGGGGGGGGCAGCAGGCTTGACAACGAGGTGCATGGGTAGAGCAGTTGACGCTAAGTCACGCCTGTCAATGCCTCTCGAGCACGCGACAAATCAGCCGGTGATTGGCGCACAGCCGGCGGCGGCGGCAGAGGGCGTGCAGAGCGCGCCGAGTGGAGCGACGACGCGGTTCAGTCGGCAGTCCGCCACTCCGCGGGTCGCTCCTCCAACCCTCACCGCCTCTTCTGCCTCCCCGCCATGCTCTCGCCCCCCCCACTCACTCTCCACATCGCTGCCACGACACACCTGCTGCCTCTCAGAACCAGGACGTCCCTGCTGCTGCTCGCTCTCCTCCCCTCCTCTCCCCACGTGCTCCAGTGGCTGCTTCCTGCCAGCTCAGCCTGGCAGCTGTGAAGTCCTTCCACTGCTGGCGTCCGTGTCACAACGCAGAACTCCACTCCCCTTGAGGTGGTCTGATGAGAGGGGGCAAGGGGCACGGGGCACAGGGGCGCTCGACAAGACGTCCCCTGGGGTGATATGAGGCACAGTGGCACGGTGTGAGGGGAGATGGGAGAGAAAACAGGGGAAAGAGGAAAAGAGGAAGAGGAGTGAATATAGTGGCGGTGGTTTGCTACAGACAACTCCAGATGCAACAATCAGGGAATGAGGAGGGAATGAGGAGGGAATGAGCAAAGAGGGAATGAGGAGTCTGACGTGGGAAGAGAGGGCAAGGAGCAGCAGGGGGGTGAGGAGAGGGGGAGAGGGGGGAGAGGAGGAGGGGGGTGGAGGAAGGTAGAGGGAACAGAAAAGAGCAGAACCACAGGCAATATCCCCAGGGTGGTTGGAATTGCTGCTGAAAGGAGGGAGGGAGGGAAAGGGGGAATCCCTGAAAATGCTGCTGAAAAAAAGGAAGGGAGGGGGAACGGGGGGGAACCCTGAAAGATTCTGCTGAAAGGAGGGAGGGAGGGGGAACGGGGGGATACCCTGAAAGATGCTGCTGAAAGGAGGGAGGGAGGGGGAACGGGGGGATACCCTGAAAGATGCTGCTGAAAGGAGGGAGGGAGGGGGAACGGGGGGATACCCTGAAAGATGCTGCTGAAGCTCTCCGTCAAACACCCTGCAATCGCGTAGAGGAGAGTGACCGTGAAGGCGTAAGGGGGAGGGAGGGAGGGAGGGAGGGAGGGAGGGAGGGAGGGAGGGAGGGAGGGAGGGAGGGAGGGAGGGAGGGAGAGGGCAGGGGAGTCCCTGCTGAAAGATCCCCCCCAGCAGATGTGTTATGGGAGAGTGTGGGAGAAGGAACGGAGGGAAGGGGGAGATGGAAAAGGGTGGGCATGGAGAAACGGAGCTTAATGGCCTTCGCCTCAGCCACTCTATTCCGCAAGACACTAGGCACGCCACCAGCGCGAATAACCGGTGCGAGCAACCAGCGCGAGTGCGCGAGTTACTCGCGCGAGTAATTAACGCGAGAAACCAGCGCCAGTAACCAGCGCGAGTTACCAGCGCGAGTAACCAGCGCAAGTTACTAGCGCGACTCACCAACGCAAATTACCAGCGCGAGTTACCAGCGCGAATTACCAGCGCGAGTTACCAGCGTGAATTACCAGCGAGAGTTACCAGCGCGAATTACCAGCGCGAGTTACCAGCGCGAATTACCAGCGCGAATTACCATCGCGAATTACCAGCGCGAGTTACCAGTGCAAGTCACCAGCGAAGGCGCGCCTTAGGGTTTGCTGGGAAACCGGTGGAAAGTTCTTGGGCTCTTTGAGAAGGCAAGGAATCGTATTATCGTTCAACGCGGAAAAAAATGTTAGCGCGGAAGCGGAAACACGCACAACTGGCTCTGATCCTCGTCGCATTGCGCTTCTTCGCGGAAGTAATAAGAAGCACTCATACGAAAGCATAAACCAATAGCTACTCTATGCCGGAATATACAATAAACATTGGCGACCATTCTGCTTCTGTTTGCCATGATACTCCGATCTGAAAACAGCAGCTGCCACTCGCAAGGACGCATAGATCAGACATCGGGGAATACATGAAGTCCGATCTGAGACGAAGTACCCTAATCAGAAAGTATCCGATCCGATCTGACGACCACATACATTTTTTCCTGTATCTTGTCCCTCCAGCAAACCATTTTCGATTGGCTGCAACGATTTTCGTCTCGCTGCCCACGCATCCTATTCGCACAGGCCAAACTTTGTTGCAACAACTCGGCTTTTACTAACTCCTTTGACTCTCGTACCAATGCCGTCCCGCGCATCACGCAGAAAAAATATGCTCCTACAGTAACATATTGCCACGTTTACGACCTCCTAGAATTGATCGCTGCCTACCCATGTTTCGAACTTTCTTGAACCACAAGCCTTGTTCCTGACGCATTACAAACTACAGAGTGAATCAAGAACACAATAACATTTGCTCAAAGAATTTGAACTGTACAATTTTGACATCGAAGCAGCTACACTGGGGAATGTCAGCCTGATCATTTCCCCGCGTTGAACCAGCACTCTGACGTCACGCTTGACGCAAGATTTTCCAATTCCGTCCGCCATACGTCGGCTCGCGGCATCTGAACCATTCATTGCTGACGGATCCATCTACACCCTTCATTACAATCCCCACCAGTTTCAGATTCCAACCAAAGTGGCCCCCAAAGGCGGCACCGCTGAAATCCTCGTCGGCGGTTCTGTACTGTCCCACAGCTGAACTGAACTCACCTTGGCAACTTCCTCCCATCAGTTCACTTAGCCGCTTCTGAACGGTAAGTTCCTTCACAACCACTTCAACGAATTTCAGAAGCAACGAAGTTTGGCCACAAGCTTTTCACGACTCGTTTCAGGAGCGGTGTCGGTTCAAAATTGGGAGTCAAAAGACGTCAGGTGTAGCGAGTAGCAGGCAAAGAAATGCGATCAAAAACTCAGCCTGCGACCCCCGGGACGAGCATCCACGCGACGCTGGTTGGTAACAGCTGTGGTCCCCCTTCGCCACGCACTCGACTATCCATGCGCCGCCACGTGCAGGAACTCACACCATCATGCACAACCCGTTCACATTTCAGCTAATATATCTCCCATCCAGCCTGCAACAACAATGGCGAGGATTTGGATTGGAGCCCTTGGTTCAGCCAAGCGTGGGGTGCTCACCTGAAATTTGAGATCTCGTTGCCATCCAACCCAAGGGAGAAGGCTCAAGCTTGCGTCTTTCGGAACACCAGTGGGCTTGAATCCCCAAGCTCCAGCCTTCCCTTTGGACCCAAACCAGATCAGAGCGGAAGCAAGTAGCCATGGTAGGAGAGCATGATTCGTGAGACGATCAGTCATATTCACAGCTAAGAGCAGAGAGCACTAAGACGGAGTAGACGCAAGAGCTGCTGTAGCTATCTCGTAGACATCTTTCTAAGTGATCGTTTCCAGCACCATGGAGTATTCGCACATAGATAGGCTGTCCGACGACCTGCTCATTGCTATCTTCTGGTCCCCCAGACGACTGCTCTCGCCGGCATGACGATGACGCCGTGTGGGCCACCGTGCAGCCTTCCCCTAGATTCCTTCGCGAAAACGCAGACGAGCCATGCTACCAAATGAGCGACACCGTGTTTCCAGCTGCTCCTCTTCCTGCAGATTTCGCGGACGCCGCTTACAACTTGCTCCTCGCGTCCACCTGCCGTCGCTGGCGTCGCCTGGCGAAGAGCAACGTCGCCACGCTCCTCTTGCAGGAAAATCGCGCCGTTTCCTGCGCGGATCTCACAGCGGCGGTGGAGTGCTTCCCCAACCTCACGCACCTCCATCTCAGCGACGGCAGCGCAGAGAGCAGCTTGGACGACGCCTTCCTCGCGCGCCTCGCTGCGTGCTGCCCTCGCCTAACGGCTTTCCACCTGGGGAAATGGATAGTGCAGCGTCCGCAACACGACGAGGCGGAGGACCATTTGACACCAGATGGCTTAGACGCTTTCTTCCGTCAGTGCACGCGACTGGAGCATCTGTCGCTGGTCGGCCTCGATGCGCATTTCGAGCTACCATCCTCCATCTTTCAACTCGTGCATCTCCGATCTCTCGCGCTCGCCGATCTCTCACCGTTAACGTCTGAACAAGTGCACGCGTTCTCCTCGCTCACAGCTCTCTCCATAAGCACGCTCGTTTGGTATTACGAAGACCTGAAATGTCTCGCTCAGCTCCCAAGCCTCACGTGCCTTTCCGTGCCGGGTCCATACTCCGGTGTTGTAGAAACGCCTGACTTCGCGTTCGCACATCTATCCTCGCTCAAATCGCTACGTTTGAAAACGGTCAGGCTAGTGCCCTTCGATTTGATGTTCCCTCCACACTCGCGGTGCAGCCTTCTAGAACGGCTGACGCTCTGCAATTACGACGAGCTTAGCAATCTCCCGGACGACATCGGCGATCAGCTGCCGTGTCTGCGGGAGCTGACCATCAGCGCGTGTCAACATTTCTCGGAGCGATCCGAGCAGCTCACCTGCTTGACCCGCCTGCGCAGTTTGACCCTCTCCAGCTGTGCATTCGACGGTCTGCCTAACACCTTTGGAGACATGCCGGATCTCAAAACGCTCGTGCTGCACCAGCTCGGTGTCTCTTTCAGATTCCCTGACGCATGCAACCAGCTCATATCCCTAGAGACGCTGGTCGTTACTGCATCTCTAGTCAATTCACCAGAACTGTTGGGCGTTCTCACGACTCTCAAGACCCTTTGCATTGATTGCTCGCCGATTCTTCCAGAGAACATTGGAAACCTAGTGAACCTCGAGACCATGTTCCTGAAATCGTACGGGCCACGTCTTCCGTCCTCATTCACCGCACTAACGTCACTAACACGCCTTGAGCTGCAGGAATGCGGGTTAGCCCAGCTGCCAGAGGCCATGGGGGAGCTGGATTGCCTGCAGGAGCTGTACGTAGTGGGCTGCTCGCAGATTGAGGCACTTCCGGAGTCCGTTTCAAAGCTCCTGAGGCTGGAAACGCTCGTGGTTGACGGGTGCAGCAGCCTCTCCTCCGTGCCTCAGAACTTGATCAATCTGACGAAGCTGAAGCAGTTGGAGCTGATCGGGTGCGACAAGTTGAGGAGAGCTCCTGGTTCCTTGCCGTGCTCGCTAGAATCCCTAAGCTTGGGAGATTCTTATCAGGTCATCAACCTACCGCGTACATATACCCTTCCAAGCCTGAAGAGAGTGAGCATGAACCGGGTGATGTCTCCATCTGCACTGTCCAGGTGCCTCTCCTCATTGCAGCACTTGCACCTGGTCTTGGCATTCGAGGAGGAGTTTCCATTCAGATTGATGGACCTTCCTTGCCTCCGCACGCTCACACTTGGAAGCACCGGAGTCATGCGGCTTCCAGACTCCACCCTGCAGGAGCTTCGTCGGCTGGAACTACGCTTGCCTGAAGTGAGGAAGATCCCAGCGACCATTGCAGCGCTCCGGAAGCTCACATACCTGGAGATAAATGCTCTCAGGCTGCGTTCACTTCATGATTCCATCGGAGAGCTATCCCGCTTACGCACACTATTTCTGTCCAACTGCCCTGCTCTCACACGTCTCCCTGGATCCATCACTCAGCTCTCCTTCCTCCGCGTTCTTCAGGTTCACAACAGCCGCATCAGCTCTCTTCCTCCCAACTTTGTGCAGCTGAGCAAGCTGCAGACCCTAGATTTGCGGGGTTGTGAGCAGCTAGAGTTCCTTCCAAGAGAGTTTGAGCAGATGAAACTGCTGGATGTTTTGAATGTTGACGGGTGTGTGAGTTTGCACGATGATAGAGGCTTGGTTCATCTCGAGGGGGGGTCTAAGTTCGATAGGAGGATGTACCGCTACCGCTAGTTCTAGCGTATACGGTACTTGGGAGGTTTGATTGTCCATCATTGTAGCAGGTCAATAATAATCCTAATCGGATACTGCCAACATAACTGTTAATTCATGTCATATCATCATGGATGTTAGTACGTTATGAATAACACTTTCAAAATAATCCAGTCATATCCAATTGGTACATGCATTCTATAGTCGTATATACAGGGGTGTCCATTGTGCTGTATGCATTCTCGAGAGATGCATACTGAGTTGCTATCCGCACCATGGATTTTAAAACATGCATTTTCAAAAGGCAGAGCCCA